AGCAATTGCCACTAAGGCAGTTGTCAGATGCCGGATGCCGCCGTCGCTTTGCCTCCATGGGTGCTTCGTTCAAGCAATGTCGTCCTCAGAACTTGGTGCTTCCCAGCCATCCCCTTAGCTTCTCAAGTTTTCGGGTTTAGTGGGGGTTTCGTTTAACGCACTAAACGTTTAAGAGTAAAACTTGACCAGGGAATGCGAGGACAGCTCAGAGACACCCATATGTCATCTGTTTAAGCCACTTTATGAAGCAGCGCGCCCCGGATTTGCTCCGCAGCACCACAGAACTTGAAGTGGGATGCCGGAAGCTACCCAAAATCGAATTCCAAAAACATTCAGATACGAAAGACATAAATAAATATTGCTGACGCTCAATGACCCCTATAAACCATCCGATGGTAACCATCCCTTGTCGTTTTCTTTGAGGGCACATCCAGATTCATTCCCTCATTTCCTACTGGGCACCAGCAAGAAACGCATGACATACGGCTATATAGCATTTAGCATTCTAGGGCCATTTCCCTCTAACTTCGCGTGCTCCAGCTCAGATCCGGGGTGCTGAAAACCCGGGCACCAGCGCCGGACGAAAAATTGATGAGATGCCCATGACGCTCTGGTCGCCTGGGGCGTTTTTTTCCCAGAAGAAAGAGGGCCGCAACCCATCACTCCCATGGGGCGGAGGCCTGGGGTGCAAATAATTTTCTGAGGTTTTCCGAGGCGCCGAAAGCCCTTTGGTCAAGAAAACGAATCAAGCAGATGCTCCCTTTTCTTTGCCAGGGCAGCGCCCGTAGATTTCGAAGGTTCACAAAACGGTTTGGATGGTTTCTCGGCTTGCCTGTTGAGGATCTGCTTGCTAGGCTGTGGTGGTTGGAAGGAGCCGATTGGAGCTGGGGTATTCAAATTTGCTTTTCGGAGTAGGTTGGTTGGTTTTTTCCTGGCTGGTTGGGGCTCCTGGTAGGTGCTAGCTGGCAAGTTGGTTTTAATCCATGCTGCGCTGTGCTAGGGGCCCAAGGGTGACAACGAGCTGCCTGTGCTTCCCACATGTTGCTGGACATGTGTGTTTATTCCTAAGCCTGGCTCATGGGAGGTGAACAGCTTGTTGGCTGGGCGCTTGGAGCCAGCAGATGAATCCAAAATCGTCTTCCAACACCCTCCTGTCAGCTTCCACGAGGGAGGGTGGACTTCCTCAAAAGCTGGTTGCCCTTTCAGCGTGAGATGCAACTGAAGGATGTCGATTGAGGTGTTGTTGCCGAAAAAAGAAGAGCCGGTGTAGTCGTGGGCACGTGCGAAGTTCGCAGGGGGAGGATGACAAGGCGGAGGCTTTGGCGGTGAAGGACACGGGTTATGTGCGGATTTCTTACTTGCAGGGTTTGGGGATATTCCGGAATTTGCAGACAATTAGGTGTCCTTTCGGTTGAAAGATGGATTTGACTGAAGTTTTTCACAGGAAGCTTAGGGATAGGCTCAGAATGGTTCTGGAGGAGGTTTCCCCAGATTTTCAGAGGTTCCGGGCTGCTGCAACAGGACCAATTTTGACTTTGTTTGGGTTCAACTTTCTCTCCCAGGGGCCCCAAGTCACACGCTTGCCTTTGCAGGACCGAGAGGGCAAGCAGTGCGGAGCTCGGGTTTTGGCAGGCTGGGCTGCCCATATTCCCTAGTTCAGGTTTCTTACCTCTTAGAAACACAACTTTTCAACTTTTTGGGTAACATGGGCTATATGTCTGTAAAAGATTAACTTCCCCAATCCTTGGAGTTTTAAGGGGTAAGGTTTCTCAAGCTTGGCAGACAGCGACTTTGCCGCTCAAGTTGTGTTTAAGTGGGCTGGGTTGGGGTCGGTGATGGGGGTGGTCGCACCTTGCGTAGATGCTGGCTGGTGATGCCACGGATGCTGGCTGGTGATGCCCGTCCCCTAGCTTTTTCCTTCTTCCCCTTGCCCATGCTGCCACAAGGGCAGCTGTCCTGGAACTTGCAGATGCGTTATTTTTCTTGACTGCTATTGGGTTGGATCTTTAGACTTTAACTTTTTGGGAAATATAGGAGTTTTCCACGAAACCGCCAAAAAGTTAAACTTTTTGCAGGGGGGTTAAGAGCAACCAAGTTTTGGCATCCGTTTCTCGTCCTAGGTCCTTGGGCTGCGCCACGGCAACAACGTCAAACTGGGGGGACATAAGCCACAGAAGGGTTCTCTCGTTCGCCAGTGTATATAACTACCATTCATATCCTAGGGGCCTGCTTGTTTGGGGGTGGGGGAAGAGGAAACCATCTTGGACTCTTCCATGACCGCAGGCTCAACCTGAACGGGCTGCGTTTCGTTAGTTTGCAGACATCAAACATCACGTTCACCCGACATATTCTCTTCGCGCCTCGTTTCCCAGTTGCCCCGCGGTGCCCATTTTCCCTTTTCTTGAAGGAAGGGTTCCCTTTTAACTCAACCAACCAAACAAGGATGCCGTTTTTTGTGTTTTTGTTTTTTTGTTTTGTTTTTTTGGTTAAACAAAAACCCAAAAAACATGGAAATTCACTGGGCGTCTGAGTTACTTGAACCACTTTGCCAAACACCTTCACTTGTGCTGTCGCGCCAATGACCTAAGCCTTCCGACTTCCCGAGGCCCCTGCACTGGGCGGCCCACAGGGGGCACAAGCGCATGGTCAAGCAGCGCCGGCGTGACGTTGACGGGAGAGCTCGGGCTTAGGCAAAGTCGAAGAGCCAGAAGGGACCGAAGGGACAGGCTGCGGAACACCCTCCAGGCGATTCCAGGCGATTGCACCCTTTGTGCTTGGAACCTCGGGTGCGAAAGGGCTCCCTTTTCTAGCAGGGCCTAGTCCTCAGCCCCCGAAAAGAAGCTCACTAGTCAGCACTGTGCTCTAGCGGCATCCCAGGAAACATCAAGTGTATCACGTTGCATTGGCTTCAAATTTCAGCCCGGCGTTTTGTGAAAGCCACGGCATGTTGGATACACGTTTCTGGGGCACATGCGAGGGGGTTTCCCTCATTGACAGAGCGCACGCCTGGCTCGAGCCCATGTTGGGGCATTCAGTCAGGCACTCGGCTTTGCATTTTGGGCGGCCTGGGCGACCCTTCAGCAAACGAGCTCAGGCCGAGGCCCCAATGAAGATTCCTCTCGTCCCATTTCAGGTTGAGCGAGTTATTGTCAGAGTGAGCGGTCTTGACGTGGCACCCGCTGAGCTGCTCGCATCGCAGCACATGTGGTGGTTATGTGTTGTGTGTGTGCTTCCTGCTTAACGCTGGGCTTCCAGGACCCCAATCGCAGATATATATATATATATAACCCGTAGGCCTTTTGCGGCGTTTCCATTTAGACACACATACATACGTACGTATGTACGTATGTATGCACGTACGTACATACATACATACAGGCGTGCATACATACACCCTTCTGTTGATACGCAAACTCTTCCATTCTTGACCAACATTATCATCCATCCTAGAGCGGTGCAAAGTGGATGGTGCCCAGCCGCAGTACTGGGCCCGCAGAGTGGCTGATATCTATTTGGGCTTGTGGTTGGTCGGCCCAGTTCCTCCTTGACAAGGCCTGACAACCATGATATTTGAGTTATTGAATCCTCTTAATCACTACTTGTGCATTGCCACCTTTCTGGATGGCCAATCCACACGCAACCATGGACAAGTTGAAACGATCGCCACTTTGGGAGGTTGCAGGGAAATGGCTGGGAACGACCCAGGAAAGGGACCAGGAAGGGAACACCCGCTGAACCAACTGAAAACATCTAAACAGTCTAAACACCCCTAAGGAGCCGCGAAGGGAAATGGCGGACCACCCAACCCGATCTGGTTTCCCTCTTGGACCCCATCCCCATCAGCGCGCCTTCGCGTCAGGGAGTTGTTGAAGCTCCGGGCGTCTCCGGGCGCCAAAGACCGGAACGGTGCCAGGCAAAGGGCGGATCGTTACTCTCAGCTGTTCAGTGGCACCCTTTTTCCTCTTTTTTTTGGTGCAGGCCCCACTAAGAATGGCCTTCCCCAAAAAGGGTTCCCTTTTTTTCTCCAGGGTCGCTGAACAACTGAGTACTTGCTGGTCCTCGGCAGGGAATGAGTTGGAATGACCCCGGCTTCCTTTAAAAACAAAATCCTCTTCCGGTTCATTCCCCCATTTTCCACTGAGCACCGGCAAGGTTGCTGGGTGTCGGCCAAACTGGGAGAAGGGGCGGTTTGACGCTTAGATGACGGCAAAAAGGAAGCGGCGGTTCTTGAAACAGATTCCGCTGCCTGTAAATCAAGGACATGGTTTGGCTTCCCGGCTTGCCACGGTGAATTCCCTCGTCCTGCGCATTGGGCAGAGGCTTCAACTCAGGAAACCCCAAGTTGGTGGTTTGGATTGGTGGTTTGGGTTGAACCCTTGGTTCTTGTAGCGCGCAAATGGGAAGCCACCCCGACCCAACGACCAATCCAAACGGAAGGAAGCTGATTTAATGATGGCTTTGATTTCAAGGTACCCCGCCACGTGCAAAAAAGGGAAGCTGATTGCTGCGTCGTTTTTCAAATCGGGGACCAACCGTCAACCGTCCAGCAGCGGTTCAGTGGACCGGCATTTCGGCATTTCGGGCGGGGGCGTCTGTTGAGTGGAGTGCGGCCCACTTGAAATCCTCCCTTTCAAGAATCTCAAAAAAAGGGCCACTCTTATTCAAGTCATGCCACAAGTGGCTGAGTGACCTTGGTAGAAGAAGGGAACCTTATTTTTTAAGTTTTACCATTGGTGCAGGACGATTCAAGACAAAAACATCCCGGAGAACGTTCGCCACCTGACGAATTGACAATGACTACTAGCACGCCAGGCTAAGAAACGCCAGTGAGGGAGGGGTCAGTGCTTATTTCTGAATTGTGGTAATTTGCACAGGTTTTAGGTAGGCTTGAATTTGTTCAAAGGCAGCGCGTGCGCAACAGCTGCTTTTTGTTCGGAAGGCAAATTCAAAGAGCACCACCGGCACCACCTATTCCATTGAGCTTCAGCTCATTGCAAAGACAACACCGTTACCACTACACCGCACAGCAAGCTGAACCATTGGATTGCCCAGTCAAACAACTTGTTTCGCCATGCTTTAGCATACCCCGAATCAAGCTGTTTGTTTGTATCATCCCGTGCTGTCAAGAGAGAGTTCCAACGCATGTTTTTTTTGTTGCTTCCTTTTAGCCTACCACATGAGGAGGTGACTTTGTGTGAAACCTAAGGAACCGGATCGCTGGGAGCCGGTGAACAGGGCATTGAACGAAACAGGGGCTGGGCCCAACTCGTCTTTTCCTGAAGGCTTGGTTGAGTGTGGGTTGCCTCCAAGAGGAACCTGCACTGGTTATTTGACACAGGGCAGCTTTTCAAATGGACCGCACGCTCGGACAACAAGTGGATGTATGATGTACGGAGATGTTTGGTAGATCTTTGCCCATTGCGCTGACCGACCGCTTTCTGCCTTCCAGAAACCGCGAACATCACGACCCCAGCTCTTGACTGCTATGGGGATCAGTTCCAGCTCCCAGCTCGCAGGCCTGTGCACCTCGCCGCCTTTGAAGGCGGGAGGTTCCTACCGAATTAATGATGGGTTTTCTGGTTTTGTGTGTGTGTTTTTTGGGGGGGAAAGGGGCACCAACTGGAAAACCACCAATACCGACATTTTTGTGTTTTTTTGGAGGGGGTAAGTTACTACTGTGGATGGACGAAATCCACTTTGCACCACTGTTCAGAAACAACGGAATGGTTTGATTCCCCAACGCAAATATATCAACAAACGTTGTGGTTTCAACCATGGTTTCTTAGGTGGTGAGAAATTAGCCATGTGTTGTATGACCGAATTAGCCATGGGTTGTCTTTTTCTTCTTTTTTTTCTTAGGGGGGGGGGAGGGACACCAACAGGAAAACTACCAATACCGACATGTTTGGCGGTTTTTGCCGGGAAATGAAGGGCAACAGAAATCCGTTTTGGAAGTACAAAGCACACCCATTTGTGGCCGTTAGGGATAGTGGTCAGCCCAGGGATTGATCGCATAGGAAGTCACAGGTTGGCCATGGCCATGTCGGTGGGTGGAGGGGCCCATCAAAGGGCCCGCTATGTTCCGATTGCCAAAGTCAAAGACTGGGGGCCGCTTCTCTAGCCTGTCTCGGATGATGGATGACTACTTGTTCGCTAAAGTCAAGTAGGGCCAATGGCGAGTTCTTGTGAACTAGGAGTTCATACCAAGGGTTCACATTTGAACTGACGCTGCTGCTTCCTTGTTTCGGCATGATGTTCTTTTTACAGCTTGAAAGTTGCTAAGGGGGCACTTGGGGTCCACATTTCGCCATTCGCAGGTGCAGCTTGAGATTTGGGAAGCTGTGCAACTGCGAAATAGAGACTTCTTGGCCTGGACTTAGTGCAACATGAAAGCTTGCTCTGAGAACTGGGCTGCAAGAGTTCATTGACTCCAGTCTCCACACCCGCTGGAACGCCGCCATATTGCATCGGCACGATTTCTGGAACAGTAAGCGGCACGACGCGCAATCCTTGGGCGAAGTGATTCCAACGCGCAGGCAAGTCCCTGGGTAGGCTGACGTCAGAACCACGTGCGGCAGGCTATCGCACCCAAAGAACGTGAGCCTTGTCGTGATTTTGCAACAGCTCCCAGCCAAGCAAGGGCATGCGAAGGCAAGCCCGGGTGCTTGATGCTGGCGTCGCGTCTAGGGCTTGCGTGGCGGGTGCAGCAGCGCGGGTAGCACCGATCCAGCTCCGGCTGCTGTTCTTCTATCAACATGCTTGGTCTTAGCTTGCATGGAAACAGCTGTGCAGGCATGTCTGGACTTCTTTATTGACCTAAGTGAGATGGCATCGAGGCAGCTCGTCATACTTTGCACGTTGTCTACCGGATGCCGCAAGTTTCAATCGATTTGGCAAGGCAAACCGGAATTGCACATATTAAAAGCAGTTAACGTTGCAGAAACACAGCTGGACAGTCACATTTTGCCATGCCACATTGCGGATTGATCAGCCTGCCGGACATTCAACCCGCAATGCTGGAACTTTGCTTGCCTTGGCGCAAAAACCTTTTGCGCGTGTCTCGTTTTTCTGGTCCGACTTGACAACCGTGCGTGACGCGTCCTGGGGAAGAATCCGTGAGCGCACATGCCCGGACGCATTGGCTATGAACTGTAAAAGGGAACCTCTTGAAAGTGGTGGACACAAATCCCAACGTAAATGATGCCCACCAAGGGTTCCCAACAAAGAATCGTGTATCTTCCAATCCATTCAGCCCGCAGTGAATCTTCCTGACAGGTTTTCAGAGGGCTCGCCCGCGGTGTGGGGAGACTTGCTTCGCAACCCCCTGCCTCTCCCCAAATCTCAGTAGTTTGTTTGGGTTTCACTCCAGAACAGGCATGCCCACGTCCGCTACACCAAAAGGAAGCTCAGCGCAACTTCCCCCAAAAGGAAGCAATTGACAAGTAGCCCATTAAAGGGAGAGTACAGCCATAAGCAAACACCTCCAACAAACAGCCAACAAGACACTTCACAGCCCCGCCACAAAAAAGGCCTCCCAACAAACCCCGTTTCAATCCGCGCTATTTAGACAACCCCCTCCGCTTAAAAAATGCAGATCAAAACACCAACACCGACAGGAACCCCAACAACAAGCAAGCAAGCAAGCAAGGAAGCAAGGAAGCAAGGTGCTGCACGGGAGGATCGGGAAGGCACCAGAACGCCGCAAATACCAATGTGTTTGGCGTGCGAAACAGAAAAACCATGTGATTTGCAGTGTTTTGTGACGGTGCCGAGCACGGCGTTATCTCGGCTCGGAAGGAACAACAACAACAACTACTACAACAACAGCTACAACAGCAACAGCTGCAGCAACTACAGCAACAACAGCTGCAACAGCAACAGCAGCAACAGCAACGGCAACAGAAACAACAGCAACAACAACAGCAACAACAACAGCAACAACCGAAATTACAACCACGACCACAGCGACACCGCAACCACGACGACGACAACCACAACAACCACCACAACCACAACGCCAAGCGCAACCGCACCGCCGCCGCCGCCACCGCCGCCACCACCACCACCACAACCACCGCAACCAGAACCTGAAATCTTTCACGCCCCCCAGACAAGTAGACAAACTAGAACACGATTGTGCGAACCTCGCTCCGGAAACGGTCCGTAGGCAAAACTCGGGCGCTTCGAGAGCTGCTTGAGGCGCGGAACGCGCAAGGCGAATTTTTGCGTGAGCATACGTAGCTTGCGATTTTCCACACTGAAATTGCGTGGCCTGCCATTTTTCGCCATGGCAGAAACTTGCCCACCAGCCCTTACATGTCTACCTTTTTGCTTGGGGGGGGAGGTGTTTTACTTTTCAGGTTGGGGTTGGCGCAAGGGGTTCCACTTATATGGGCGTGTCAAAAAAGAATTGTCAGGTGTGGGATTTGCTTGACCAATGAAAGCTGGTAAAACAGTGCGCCTGTCCCTTTCATAAGCGATTCGTTGATAAGTGGTAGGTAACCTCCATACCTCCAAAACCAATACCTGCAAATAGAGGCCTGAAAAAGATGTGGCAGGCCAACACTAGATTTTACAAGGGAGGCCCAAGGCAAAATAATTATGCGGTCCGCTGTCCAGACTTGGTAGGTCTACTTCGAGTTTAGGGCCAGAGGCAAAACAGATCCCATACCATTCTGGTTGATTTTTCGAAGTTCTCCCTTGACCAATGTCCATCAACAATTTGGGATTTGGAGGGCAGAATGGAATTCCAGCAGGCTCTCCTTTTCAGCTATGTTTGTGCATCCACAGGCCTACCCCCCTTACCCCAAGCCAACCGTTGCTTGTTTTGCCCTTTGTTTCGGCGGACAGGGGGCACACCTTGCCTTCATTTGGCGGCTGGAAGGTTCAGTGGCAACCTCCGGCAGGTGTGTCCAACGGCCTCAAGCGGAAAACAAAAAAACGAAGCCAACCTTAAACATCTAGAACTTCACTGAGAACATAGGTGGCCTTGTTGGGTGAGTTTGCTTGAAACCAGATGTGTTTGGTTGCAGGTTGGTTCCAATCGTTTACCCCAGAGCAGTCCTGCACAGCGGGCTTCTTTGCAAATTCGTCCATGATCTTTTACTCTTCGAACCTGCCCGCATGGCAGTGAGAGGTTCTGGGGGATCACCAAACCTTAGCTTTTGGAAAAGGGGCCGCCCGCGCTTGGTGGATCGAGGGCATCATGTTTCTCTTGGTCTCAAGTCTACGCTTGGGGTCTCAGGTCTAAGCTTTCTGTGGAGATATTTGGGAACCAACTGCCTACCGATCAGTTTCTCTTAGGGCCTTAGGGGTTCCAGGAAAACTTCGCAAGATGATTGGACTAGTAATGAGAAACAAGTTCTATGATCATGACCTTCTAGGATCGTTTGTGTGCATGTGTTTAAGGGTCATTCTTCCTTCAGGCCTTAGGATTTGCGATTTCTTTACGCTCAACCCATATTACAAAAACATGGATCTCTCAAAAAACTTAATCCGGAGGATTTGAATGGCAAGATGATTTCTATTCGTATCCAAATGTACCTTAGAGGGCGCCTGTCGGAGCTAAGTCCCGTCAGGGACATGGTAGACCCAGCTCGTCTTGTTTTGAGCTTCCCCTCGTTTTTCTTTGTTTCAAAGAGAAACAAAGACCACCCATCCATCCACATTACTTGGGCCCCCCCCTCCAAATAGCGCACGGCGCACGCCCCGCCGTTCCTCCCGGCCGCCTCGTCCGCTGTCCGCGCCGAATCCTCAGGTGGAGTCGCGGCGCAGCGCCACGGCTCGCACCGACGGGGGCGCCGAGCCCTTGCACCTGGCGGCCACACGAGGCGCGCGGCCTGCGGGCGCGGCGCATGCTCCGCGCATGCAGCGCGCATGCTCCGCGCGCACCGCGCACGGAGTGCTTGACGTGTTTTTGACCTGTTGGACGTGTTGGGCGTGAAGAGGTCGCACGTTTTGGTCCAAAACCTGGGCTGTTCCTTGGTTCTTTTCGCCGTTTCAGGTTTGGGGAGCCGAGCTTGGTTCCAGTTCCCACGTATTTGATGACCGAGCAAGGAGACATGTGTTCATTGTGGGGCCTCACCCCAATGTTCATTGTGATGGTTAACACTGTTCGATTTCCGCTTTGTCAGTCCTCAGGTCAAGAAGAGAAATCCCACAATAAATAGAAGAGAATCCAGTCCAACTGTTTTGTCGAGGTGATTTGAATATTGCTATGATCGCAAGTGTCACTGGGTGACACGGCTGCAGCAGTTGCAGTCCAGTTGATTTAGGAGGGATTGTCCAGGAGTCGTTGGTTGGAATAGGGGTGGCCAATGGGTCCTTAGTTGGTTTAGGAGGAATGGTTCAGGCGTCTTAATGGCACAGGGGTCTTTAGCTGGTTTTGGAGGAATGGTCCAAGTTGGTTTTGGAGGAATGGGCGAGATATGCTTTTTGTTCTTCGTTTTTTAGCTTATCTTGTTTTTTTGGTCGGGGGGGGGGTAGTGTTTTGGTGTGTCTTGTTTTGTTTTTGGGGAGGCTCTTGTTTGTTTTGGAGTCTCATGTCCTGAGCCCACGGAAGAAGTTCAGACCAATGAGTGGTGCGGTTTCCCATCTACCCTTTTACAAGAACCAGGGGTTCAAATCCCCAAGTTAGTCCTCCAAATCGCCAATGAAGGGTTACCTGAGAAGTCGTTTTCAGGTCTTTCGGCTGTAAGCGTGCCACGCCGTTTAGCGGATTCAAGTCCACACTTCGGGTCCCTTTTTGCTTGGTGGCTCGCTCACAATGCCTCGGGCCAGGCCACGCGGAAGTTGCCGGGCGCCCAAAAAAGGGCCAAAGAGTTGCTTGGAGCTGGACAAAGCGGGATAGAGGGTACCCTGAGACCCTGATTGCTTGCCCGTTTCCCAGTCACTCTCTTTTTCCGTGGCTTTCAACTTTCATCCGGGCACCCTTTCGTTCACAGCTGCGGGCAGGTCCACGAATTAGGTGCAGCTTGCTTGCGGGATAGTCAAAGCCTACAAAGCCTTGGGTGAGCCTGCTGCTTTTTCTACCCACACTCAGATTGGTTTGGGCGAGCTTTCGGTGCTTGGGCTGCACCTTCCAATGCCCGAGCTTGCCCAGTCGAAGCCAGATTCAGTCAAATCCCAGTTGCGGCTACTGGTAGCCACCCGTGTTTGATCTTGGTTGATTAAAAGGGTGGTTTCATGGTGACCTGCTGCGGCTGAACTGCCGCGACGGGGTTTGAGTGAGCCAATTCTCCGCGGACAGGTGGAGAAGCGGAAGGTGTTTTTTTACGCCACCCAAAACTTGCCGGTGCTCAGTAGGGAACGAGTTGGCATGACCCCTATAAACCATCCAGCTGGTGGTTTCCTTTAAAAGCACCCCTGGGTTCATTCCCACATTCCCTACTTGTCGTACCAGCAAGGGAATGAAAGTGCACACAGGTCCCTCTTTCGCAAGGGGCCAAGTTTCTACCCTTGAGCTGAAAGATGGTGCCCATCAAACTGGTTATATATGGGTAGGAAAAGCAGCAGGCACCAAGGATTTCACTGGATCTGGTTTCGACCGGGCAAGCTCGGGCATCGGAAGGTGCAGCCCAACCACCGAAAGCTCGCCCAAAAGAATCCGAGAGTGAAAATCGAGGAGCATCTAAAAAGATGATTTCGGTTTTCCGTCTGCCCTTTACACCAAGGTGAGGAAGGGCTCTCCCGAGCGTCAACAAAAACAAGCGCCACGCCGCATGTGGGCTGGGTTTTGGGGTCGAGCCGTACTCTTTTCGGGGTTTGCAAGGGAAAGCCACTAGTCACTAGTCCGAATCCGCCCGTGTGTTGTGGAATCCCTAAGGGAGGTAAACGCAAGCCCTACTGTGGAGGGACGAAATCCTGCACCACCTAAGAAACCCTGGAATGATGATTCCCCTGTAAATACCAAGAAACAATGGCATCCCATGGTTTCAATGTGGTGCAGGATTGTGTCCATCCACAGTAGGGTTCTTTAGGAAGCCTCCCCTTGCCCCACCCCTTTCGGATTCCACGTCAGCAAGTCGCGTCGCCAAGTTCCCTCACTCAAGGCCAAGCTGTTGCTGCGGCGCAAGGCCTCTCCTGACGCACGCCGGGCCTCCCAGTCCTCCCGGCAGTAAGGAGCCGCCAATTCCGGTGACGATTTGAGGTTTTCCCTGGTTTGAAAAGGAATCGCACACTCACTCAATCACGAGCGGACATTTTTCTAGCTGTCTTTTTCAGAAAGCTTGACGCAAATGCAGGACCAGCAGTTCATGGCAGGAGCAAGGGGGCAGACCGCAGGTTATGGGTTCCCAATATTCTCGAGACAACACCATACCTAGCTATGATGCGAAACAGCTCCACGCGAGCCGTGCTTGCATAATTCCACTTAAATCCCAAAGTCTTGTTTTTGGCAGACCTCTGTTCTTCTTGTTAAATCTTTGCCCAAAGACTTGGCTTTGCGGAAATCCATAGCTGTGTCTTGCGGTTGTCTGGGACGGGACGGGAGCAGCGTGCAATATTTGTGGAATTGATCATGGTGAAACTGGGCCTATTGAATTTGCTCATTTTGCCAGGAAGCTAACCTGAACCAGCCAGCACGGGCCCAATATCACCCCAATGCCCATAGCTGATCAAAAGCTGGTGATGATGCTTCTCTTTTCTGGTGGCCACCTGGATTTCCCGTGTGGAAGTCGGTTTTTCCTCCCCGGTTCCGGGCGCACTGTGCCCTCCGCAAGGCGATGCCAAGGGAGCGCAGCCCTTGCACATGGCCGCCCGGCTCCCCAAGAGACTTGGAGCCGGTCAGGGGGACATCATCGTTCTTGAGGGCTTTTCGGCAGTGCAGACAGCAAAAATCATGCTAACACGACATATTCTCTTCGCGCCTCAAATTCCCAGTTGCCCCGTGGTGCCCTTTTTGCCTTTTTTTGGGGAAGGGTTCCCTTGAAACTCAACCAAAAAAAGGACGCCTTTTTTCATCATGGAAATTCACTGTCCCTTCAACAGATGTTTGAACCTGGGGCCCGCCAGCTGATGTAGAGGGGAACCCCTAAGAATTTCTCTGGGCAAATGAGAACAGGCAAGCATGGTTTCCTTCGGCTCCATGGCTAGAAACCATGGGCGTAAAGTGGGGGGTCGGAAGCCGTGAAGGTGCTTGCCTAGTTGCTTTGCCAGAATTAGCTCCCCCTTTTTGCTTTCTTGCTTTTTTTGGGTCCCTTTGTTTTCCACGAACCAGGCAAAAAAACTAATCTCATTTCTTGCTGGGGTCCTCTTCTTCCAGCCCAGGTTGTGTCGTTCAAAACGACTCCTGCAAGACTGCGGCTGTTCCCATCCGGTTCTTTAGGTGAGGTTTTTGGTTGGAGTGGGGGCTTCCCTTCAAGAGCCTCACAGAAAACCTGAAAAAACGCCCGGAATTCGGTAGTTTCCCTACAGTTCCGGCTCCGTTCGATTTTTTTAGTATGTTTCCCTGCTTGTCAGACGGGCGCTCATGCAAATATATGATGATGTTCCGCTGGACGCGGAGTTGTCTATGGACGCTCTCTTTTTTTTGCACCACCTGACAAACCCTGGAATGATTCGATTCCCCTACGTAAATACCAAGCAACACGGGCATCCCACAGTGTCCAAGGTGATGCAAGCTGCATTTCGCACCCATCCACAGGATGACTTTCAGGGTTCCACTTTCTGACTAGCCCAGCGTTTACTTAAACCCAGGGATGGATTACCCCCAAAAGGGGAACCCCTGGATGAAACTTCTATCGTGGGCCAGTCAAAAAGTGGAACCCCCACACTTTTTGACTGGCCCACGATGGAAGTTTCATCCAGGAATCCATCCCCGGTTTTGAGTAAACGCTGGGGGTAGTCAGAAAGTGGACTATCGAGGACCCAGCTGTTGACACATCGAACCCTCGAAGCGCCCAGGCCTACGAGGGCCATGCCGCTATGGTGGACCTCCTCATTGCCTTTCGGCGCACGAAAGTGAGTGGAGGTAGGCCAAAATTGGAAGATCGACTCGGTCCTCCCAGTAGTGCCCTTTTACCGTTTCTTTTTTGGTTGGGAGGGTTCCCCTACTAAAAAATAGACTGCAGAAAAAGGGTACCCTTATTCTAACCTCTCTACTGGAGGACCTAGTTGACGATTCGGGTTTCATCCTGTTCCCCTAAACAAGTAGGACATACACGTTCCATCCGTTTGGGTTTGTCGGTTTTTCGAGGGTACCCCCGCCTGTTTGGCTGTTTTAAAAGGGAAGAGGAGGAGAACAATCATTTTGGGAGACCCACGTACACGTTCCATTCATTGACCTCTGAAAATCTGAGGGGGCACTTGGCCTCCCTTCCCCCCCCCAAAAGAACAGTTTGAGCTTATCAACCCTGAATCCTTATCAAGCCCGCTTTCAAAGAAGGAACCATTGGTTTCAGACAGTTTTCAGACTGCATCGTCTTCGAGGATTGATTGGGCCCAGTGTCTATCGTTGAGCGCCCACACATGTTGTGCTTGGCTGCCAGATCCCATAGCCCAGAAGCCCATCCAACCTTCCCAGCCCGCTGGGGTCGGCAGCTTTCCTCTCGCTGCAAAATGTCTAGGGCTGCTGCCCTCATCCGAAACTCGAGGCCAGCGGTGCTACTCCGGACGCGGGCGCGGATGCCAGGGGCTGAGGGGCTGAGGGGTGGCCTCGCTGTGTGTGTTTGTGTGTGTGCATGGGTGGGTGGGGTGGTGGGGTGGTGGGGTGGGGGGGTGGGGGTTCGGGGTGGGTGTGGGGTGGGATGGGGTGGGGAAGGAACGTAGGAAAAGGGCCCCCCCCGAGGTTTCTTTGGGCGTTACCCTATCGGCTTCCCTTGCCTTTGCGGGCCTTTGGATGACCCGGAAGGCTTCAAGGTTGGAGCCGGCAGCATGGCGACAGCTTCGCACGACTTTTCTCTTTTTTGGGGTTCCAAAAGTGACAACATAAGATGAAAAATCACCAGAACAGGTTGGGATTGGTTGCGACCCTAGGAATCAAAGGGCGCTTTGCAAGGAGCCAAGGGGGAAGGGGGAGGTGTCCTTTGTTGGGTTCACGCGCCTGTTTGCATCATATTTGCAACTTGTCCAGGGGGACATCCAGGCCTTGTCCTTCCCAATTGGTCACCGAACCAGAGAGGATTGGGAGTTCCCTCCCTAAGGAAGGATTTTCCACGAGAAGAGGTAAGGGTTGGGTACCGATATGATTGTAAGGGCTAGCACAATTGGACGGCTTTCTTTGGTGCTCCAAGCACAAATTCCAGCCTTTCGCCGGAGCCACCGGGAGATGTTTCGGGGTCAGAGAGCCACTTGCTTTTGGATTTCGGAGAGCGAATGTACCACAAGGGAACCGCAGAAAGGGTGCTCACACGGCTGGGCTGGGTCCAGTCTTTTGTCTCAGTTATCTCCCTGCCGCCCGCTAAGGACGGAACTGATCCGGTGCTGCACTCAGCGAACACCGCCCTCTTGCTTTGGCCGGACTGACTGTGTGCATGTCGCAGCCTTTGTTTGGCCGTGTCAGATGTTGAATGCTTTTAGATGTTTCTTCCTGCATGTCGAAGCTCCTTGTGCTGGCTACCTTCATCGGCGTCCAATGCATCCGCAAAGGGGAGAATCACATCAGCACGGGATGCAACCAGTGGGTATGTCCTTGCTTGCCTACTCACTTACTTGGTTGCTCGCTCGCCTGCTTGCTAGTTGCCCACTTGCTCACCCGCTTACATCTCACCACGATTGATGGGCATGTTCGGAAGCTGACGGTATGAAACCGTCTATGATTCCATGTTGTTGCGCCCTCATTTATCGCTGAAGAACGGGGTTGTAAATGGACAGTATTATTTCACGTTTGCAACCTTTTGCGACTTGCTCTATTCCCCAGTTGCTCAGCGGATTCTACCCTTTCCTTTCAGTTCACTAAAAATGTACTGGTTGACTCTCCACTCTCTTCACCTCGTTCTTCATGGGGGTTTGGGGGAGGGAGGAGAGGGGGGAGGGAGCCCAAATAAGCCCTTTGTTATGCCCATAAGGCCTTGGGCCCCCCTCCTCCCTCCCCCACAGCCCCCATGAGTTTTCCCAGGGACATGGCCCGTTTCGCGCAGAGAAGGCTCCCGAGAAACGCAGCCCAGGCGAAGCTCGCCTGGACGCGGGGGCACAAGGACGTTTTGTCACGAGCGCTCTCTCGGGCGCCAGGAGTTCCAAAGCGTTTGCAGGGTTTTACTTGGCTGCTATTGGAGCTGGATCTTTAGACTTTAACTTTTTGGTTGACATCTTTGGGTTTTGTGAATTAAACCCCAAAAAAGTCAAGCTTTTTGAAGGGGGTCAACAGCAACAACGTTTAGGGATGGCGAAAACCACACGTTGGTCTCTCAGCAAACCGTTTTCCAGCCATGTTCCTGACCTGGCAAAAACCACACGTTGGTCTCTCAGCAGAGCATTTTTCCGGCAATGAGTTTGACCGAGCTTTTTTCAATCGTGGAAGTGGATAGGGGGCCCTTTCAAAATAGCCTTAAACCTTGAAAGCCCCCTGACTAAGGTTTTCCGGCGGAAAAAAGGATCGTCAAAAGTTGACTCTTCCCCACATCATGTTTGGTGAGGACCCAACTTGCAAGAACCCCCGTTAAGGATCCCAGAGGCTAATAGCGGCGAATACCATGTTTTTCAATCAAATAACATGGAACCCCAACTTACTTCCTGAGTTCCTGGACTTTCGGGACGACCATGTTGGTGGCAAATACACAGCTTGGCCCATCCTCTCGACCGGAAGTGAGCAAAGGGGATCCCAGAACTCAGAACAGGCCCCGAAAACGGGCGGCTTTTGGGTTCCACAAGGCAGACCCCGTGAGGACCTTGCCCAGAAGCTGAACGACGCCATCCCCAAGCGCAGCCCCGGCGGGCGCTGGGGGCCCAAGCTGGTTTCATGGGACGCGGGCTTCGTCGCTACTGGAGGACCTAGGATTTGTCAAGCACAGGGTCGCGGTCCGCCTGGTGTTCGAAAGGGACATGCAAGGATTCCAAATTAGGAACCCGCCGGATGCAGCAGACGCCCTGGTTGATTAATTCTTTCTTTCCGCTATCCTTTGCAGACAGGCGGATCATTTTGGGGACTGCAATCCAAGTTCATCCGCGAGATTGTTGGCAAGGGTGATCTCACGCATCAATTGCCGCACAAATTATCATAAGCTCAACTGTGTAAAACAAGCGAAATTAATGATGAAGGCTCCCAGCAACTTGGTAAGAGCTTCAAAATCAAAGTTGCAGCCAAATAGCCTACAAGTAGTTTTTTTTTTCAAAAGAGGGTGACCCTGCCGCATGTGCTTCCCAACCCCCCCCCCCCAAAAAAAACAACAAACAAACAAAAACGGCAAAGCCCCTGTGAAAAAAAGGCAGATAATGTTGGACCCTCTTTAATCTCCACCCCTCAACAGAATCACCACGGTCCTTTTGAGTGAAAATCTGGGGGGTGGGACTTGGACTTGCTAGTACTTACTTTAGTTTTGCCAAGGCTAGATTTAGTATTGCCAGGACTAACTCTCAGGTTCCCAATGCTTAACTCCTTGTGTAAAGAAGTTATCCGAAATGTGGCGCTTTGGGGACCAATTCAAAAAAGGAATCCTAATCTTTGCCCGGATTTGTTTGCCCGTTCTTTTTGTCCGACTTTTTTTGGCCAGTTGTTTTGTGCCGTTTTTTTTTGGGGGGTTGTTTCCCCCTAAATTAGGAACAACTTTCGAAGAGGCCCCATCACCAACATTATCGGTAGGACATCATCTTATTTCCGTTCGCCCCCTGCCACCACTCCCGCAGCGAGGCAAGGTGCTGGGGCCGCTGCATGAGGATCTCTGAGGATTTGACGCATTACAGCAGTGGTTTGCCTCCTGCTGATGATCCAAAGGGTTGTCCGCAAAAACGCCAAAGCTGGGCCATGCGTTTTTTTCATCCTATAGTTCCTGTCCAGCAGTCCAGCATATCTTTAGCTTGCGGGTGTCTCAAGTTGCCATTTGCTTTGCTTGCGATCTTTGAGGGCCAGCTTCCCGCAAATCCCGCGGGGTGCAAATCCCGCGGGGTGCTCAGCGCAACGAGACCGAGAGAAAAGCAAGCGCCAGCTTCGCGCCACACAGAGCACGAAGGTGCGGATGCCCTAAGTATCGCTTTCGGACCAGCCACGTACCATAGAAACCCGTTAAGTAAACTACGGCGCGCCAAACCAAGCACCATTTGCCCTGGCCAAGGGGAGTTTTGCAAAGTTGCATGGGCGCAGGCGCAAGTTGCAGCCATCCAAGTGCAGACCGGAAGGGAGCCGCCTGATTGACTAGTCTAGGTCCCCCACTAGTGCCCTTTTACCCTTTTTTGGTTGGGAGGGTTCTCCTACTAAAATAGACCACAGAAAAAAAAAGGTACCCTTATTCCAAGCTCTCTACTGGAGGACCTAGTAGTGGTCCCGAGTTTTTGAAAGCAACTAGAAGTACTGTCAAAGAACTCCCCCCATGCTTGGGAATCGCCCGTTTCCGAGGTTCGCGGCAGGGGTTCACCGGGCGCTTGTACCGTCGGATCCGTTCCGGACATGTTTTTTGCGCTTTCAGGTCGGCTTGATTCTGAGTCCGCACCCCCCCCCGTAGATTCGCATGGAGCCAGCTAGCCTGTGGTTGTGTCCGCATTTGGCCTTAACGAGGAAGCTAAGGGTAGCCAAGCAAACAATTTGCTTGTGAATTCCAATTGAAACTTTGGGAGTAATTAACCCGGAGGCTGTGGGTGACTCAGCTTCCCCAGTCATCTCGGAAAGCTGTGAGGCGATCCCCCTGAACATCAACTAGGCAACACTGGGTGCTACACAGAGGTCTACACCTTCAGTTGTTTACACCGGGGGAGTGTCGTGTTTGGGGGGGCCTGTTCCGGTGAATGCCATTGTTCAAGGGGCCAAACCTGGGTGCGAGCATCATCGGATCCCGACGTGACCCCGCCAAGCCCCAACTTTTTTGCTGCCCAGGGATGCCCGCAGTAGGGTTTTGGGTTTTATGAAGGCTTGTTGGTGCCCCTGAATATCAGTGGGCACCTTTTTCGTTGCCTTGCTGAGTCAAGACCCTCTGGACGCATCGTGATCAAAGGGCCGCGGCCTTGCGCGAGACTTGAGCAAGAACAGGGCGATGGAAGACGAAGACGCTCACAAGCTGCGAGCTGCGCATGCACGAACTGTGTAGTGTTGACCCCAGATTAGTAAGCCCTGGTTTAATCATATGGGGGTGGGACGGGACGAATCCAACCACGAAAGCCACGGACACCCCCCAAACTAATCGACAAGGGTTTATGAATCCGGGGTCAACACTACCCGTCCGCTACCCAGCCAGCTCAGTGCAAACACATTGTTGGAGGCAAGCTCGTCCGGCCATGCACCCTGGGTGCCAAATGGTCCGGTGGTGATATTTTCCTATTTGTCCAGACGCGTTGTTTCACACCCAGCCACCCGGCAACGCTGAGCGAGCAGAGGACAGGGGATTGCTGAGCGGGGTGCTTTTGTTGCCCCCTTCCCCCAAGGGCCCCGAAAGGGTGCCCAATTGTATTGTGGTTCCACGAGCCAATCTGCAGAGTGCCATACTGGGAGGCTTGGGCAAATTCAGTTTCTTCAAAGGCGAGCAGGCAAGAGATCCTTTTGTTTTAACCAAACCAAACACAACAACCTATGCTCTTAAAACAACAAAGCAGTGTAACAGAAGCAGCAGGTTTCATTCCCGCGGAGCTTCAAGCTGGAGGCTCATGCTGCTCTTTTTGGCGTTAAGCACGGGAGATTGAGTTTCTTCCCCGAGGAAGGCGCGGGGGACTGTCCCAAATATAAATGGCAGTGGTTGTCAAAACCAATGGGATCCCGTTTTGGGGTAGGTGAATTCACCACCCATTTTAGGACCTATTTTAGTGGTTGGATTGGGATGTTCACTGGGGGTACGATTTGGATTTTAACCCATGGCCAAATGGACGCCTTGGCTTCCCGCCTTTGGTCTTTACAAACTCCGTGGTTCCCAGTCTGGTTCATCTTGGGGTTGTAGTTCTGAGTTTGGCGGCTTTAGTGGGGGTGTGCACGTAACCCACTAAAAGTGTTCGACTTTTATTTCTCTGGTAAGGCCATTTTCGTTGGTGCATTTTGCTTGGATGTTAGGACTAACTTTTTGCCGACGAATGCGTTTCCATCAAACCACTAAAAGTTAAGCATTTAGCAGGGGAGCAGAAAGCAACCAAGTTTTTACAATACCAGGTTTTGAGTGTGACTTCGCCTGGGCCTGACCCCACTCTTACCCATGCCCAAGTGAGGCATCGTCTTCACGGCAGCCAACAAATGCGGCTATCCGGGATGCTTTTGTAGTAGCCAACCGAAAATTCTACCCTCCCACTAGTTCAACATGGAACCTGACAGGGGGCTCCTTTAACAGGAACACGGTCTTCCAGGGCCCCCTGTGGTTCCATGTTAAGTGGTGGGAGGGTATAGGATAGAATAGCCAACTCAATGCCGGGGTTTGGACTAGTTTCCTGCAAAAAATCATGCGGCTGGGTTTCCCCTCTCACCGTAAATGGACAAGATCCACCAGTTGATATGTGCTTTGCTTGGTGGCTCCCAGCCATCCCCTTAGTCTTTTAGCCCTTTAGTGTTTAGTGGTAGTTTCCATTTCATGGGCTCGCGCCTTACCAGGACATGTCTCAGGCTGCGAAGAATGTGCCCGGAGCCCAGGCAACGCCCCTCCCCTCCCCCCCCGACACACTTGACCAGACCACAATGCCAGAAACATGGCGCAGCCTCACTTGAGGCATGCTTACCCATCATGTGTTTTTCTCAGAATACGGGGTTCCAAGATGATGGTTTAAACCATCCAAGGTGGGTACCCTCCTTCAACACAAAGACCATGTTGTTCAACCCTCTATGGGGTTTGGGATCCCGCGTTCTTTCCGAAACACTTTGGAGAGAATGAATGTTTGCTGAACTTTGTAAGGCTGCATGAATTGTCAGGATCCCCGCCCTTCAACTTGAGCCAAAGTTGGATCTACAAAGGGCGGTCACTTCTCCACAGTGTCGTCCTGTTTTAGACTCACACAATTGGACACATGTATGTCTCAAAGGGTAGGTATTCATGCCAAACTGGTCCGAGAAAGGAGGCCAACATTCTTGTGATTGGTCTACTTGCAATATTTAGGGCATCCACCATAGAGCTATGGGTTTAAATAGACAAGATCATCGCGTTGAAAGAGTTACCCCGATTCCATGACCATGCGCATTTGTCATGAGCTTCACCGTTTTCCGCTATTTGGTTTGATCTTTGGCCTGGGCTTTTCTGTTAAAAGTCTGTCTCCCCACACATCGAGCGGCACATTTCCCCACTCAGCACATCACAAAGCACACATCAAAACTTGCTGGTGCTCAGCAGGGAAGGGAATGAACGGGTTTAGGGGGGGACTCCCTTAGTGGAACCCACCAGTTGGATGGCTTGTGGGGGCCATTCCATTTCCTGTTTCCCTGCCGAGAACGCACCGGCAAGAAAAGGTGAAGCGACAAAGATGTGGGTCAGAACCATTGGTCCCATTTTGGGGTAGGTGCACCACCCATTTTAGTTTATAATGTTCACTGGGGGTTTTGACCCATGGCCATGTGTTTTTCCCCAACAGCTGAAAGGTTCCACCAGGGTTCTACCAGGGTTCCACCAGGGTTCCACGAGGTTCTGCGAGGGCTGCGGGGTGGTGCGAGCACTAAAAAGAAGCTTATTTTCCCGCGCCAGTGAGCCAGCTGCTCGGAAGCTCGGGCCGCGGAGTGACCCAAGAATCGGTCTAAGGCCCTTCACGGGCTGCTTTAAGAAGAGGAGCCACCGGCTCTTGCCGAGGCAGTTCCCGCAAGTTCCCTTGCGCCGCGCTCTTTTTTTTTGGGGGGACCTACCTGGACCCTCCAACTACCTTTGACTTTGAAACCCGGATTTCACCCCAAAATTACCATAATTTTGGGCAACAACCCATTTTTGAGGCTCCAGGCAGGTGTTCAGCGCATTCTAGCAGTCCCCTTTTTTGGCTTGGAGGGCCCCTCACTCAAAAGGCTCGAAAGGCTGAACCCCCCCAAAAAAAAACAAAAAGAGGCCCGATTCGTTTGTTTGGAGGGTGGACCCACAGTGGAATCAGCCAACGGGTTCCGGGTCACTGGGCAACTCTGTTGGTATGATCTGTTCGATCGGTCGAGGCGCGGTCAGGATTGGGAGACAGTTGGCAAGGCGTTGAGCCCCCCACTGTTTTGCAGTTCCCACCGTTGGCACAGTTGGCAGTTCCCAGAGTTTTGCAACATCTGCTTTGGCTGCTTTCTGGGAGCCAAGGGAATTCTCAAAGTGATATAGCCGATCACCGGGCAACCAACGGAAAGTCAGAGCAATTTGCCCGGACATCCTTAGCTTTGTAGTTTTAGGTTCTAGGGTTGAGTGGTAGTTTCCGCATTTAACCCACTCAAAGTTAGTCACTTTTAGGCAGGGATTGGACCTGAGATCTGAGGGCAGCCCAGGTGTGGCAGAAGGGGGCTGGCATCGACTTTCCAGCATATCCACTTTCAAGACTGGGTCCCCATGCCCTTTTGGGAGGCTTCCCCTGCTAAAATAGACTACAGAAAAAAAAGGGTACCCGTATTCTAACCTCTCTACTGGAAGGCCTAGAAGATGTTCGTGCCTTGGCTCTTGAGTTGAATCACTTGCTTCTTCCAGCGGCTTTGCTCCAGCATGACTGTTCTGCAGGCTCTTCCATCCATAGAAATGGGGGGGGGGAGTGCAGCTGCAGCGCAACTGATTCGAAGGGGCCCCAGGAAGAGGATGTGAAGATACCCTGGAGTTCATACCGTGGATGGACAAAATTCCGGCACCTAAGAGGCCCTGGGATTATGATTCCCCTATGTCGAAGTGGTGCGAAATGGAGTTCGTCCATCCACAGTATGGATTCCTTCAGGTTGCCCGGTGAAGGCTCGCGGCACGCGCCTTCCCACCGGGTGTTTCCTCGGGTTTTGGGCTCGTCAGATTCGGAGGCCCGGCCGTTTCCCGGCAGGCATCGTCGATCTTCAACCGGAGGGGTCAAAACCCATGCGTCATATCCGGTACTAGGATCCAACCATGCCAAATCCAGGATCCCCGTCCCCCTGGTACTACACCTTTTTTTGCGAATCGGGGCTGGGTTGCCGGCGGGCCACTGGGTTGCAGGTTTCAGCAGATGGAGATCCCCCACGACTTTCCCAAGATGCCCTGGATCATGGCCAAACGCATCGTGGCGCCTGGCTGAGGATCCATCGAAGCTTCGCGCTTCGGGAAGGCTTCGTGCAGGCGACCAATCAAACGGGGGCAGGCGACTTATCATGTTCCCTTGGCCCCCACATGCTTGTTGGGAAGCATTTTTCCAATTTTTGATCTTAATGTGGTTCAGTAATTAGTTGAAATCCAAGCACTTAACAGCTAAAACTTGCAGATGTGTTGCTCCCCAAACCCAACGTCCAAGGCAAGGCCCTTAAGAAACCTTTGGATATGGATGCCTTTGGACCAAAGGGGACCGGACCTCGAGTTAAAGACTTGGTGTTCGCCTTACCTGGAGTCTCCATGACCCTTTAAAATGAGTCAACAACCCCGTTATTTTAGGTAATGACCCTATTTTTTAAGGGTCATGGAGACTCTAGGTAGAAGTGGATGGTGGACACTTTTGTCCCACCGAAGTCTCGCTGTGGATGGACCAAATCCGCTCACCACCTAGGATGGGTGAAACATAGAAATATCGGTTGACAAACCACCACCGAACAACTGGTGCGAAGTGGATTGCATTTGTGGATTTATCTGCGCATCTGCTGGTGTGTGTTCACTTCTTTTTTTTTGCATTGTTGGCTTGTTTGCTGGTTGTTCGCTATGTGCTCCTTAGTTTGTTTCAATAGTTGTTTTCGGCGCGCGGGGATTTGCAGAGGGCCAAGGCACATGAAACGCAGAGTCTCAGAGAATTGTTCCCCTCCGAAACGGCGGGGCCGGAGCGCATGAAAGCCGCCTCAGGATGACGCAAGAAAACTTAGTGGCCGTTTGCCCACGTTTGGCGCAAGTGGGAAGGAGGAAAACAAGCAGGCCTCGAGTTTTTTGGCACCAACCTTGCAAAAAAGACCTCTCTGCATGGATTGCCACCCATAGCAACGAGAAGGTTCTGAGCAGCCATTTCGGCCTGGGGCCTACATGGATCAGAAAACATGTTGGCCTTGAAAAGGCTGTTAAATTCTTCATCTGGTTAAGACCGGCCTTGAAAATGCTGAAGCAGAGCATGCGCAGGCATCTTTCTGTAAGACGGCCAAAAACTACTGGCTCTTGAAAAGCTGACCCGTACACTGGGGATGCTACCAACGCAGGTTGATCAATGTACAAAAGTGGCAGGGTCTTCATTCCTCCCACCGATCAACCGACACCCAGTTGCAACCCTTGGACGTTCAATGGGCGCAAGATACCTTGGCCACTGGGATAGCTAAGACAACTTTAGGGAAACACTAGGAGCACAGTGGTAGGAAGCGCTCCTAGGTGACTAAGGGGAACCACCCCAAGAGCAACTCCTCAGAAAACACCTCAGCACGGGCCACATGTGGACCAGTGACACAGCCCCCTCGGCGGGAACGGCCCATGAGTGATGGACAATGAGCATGTGCCCCTGGAGGATGCCCAGCTCAGGTTGAGGCGGGCGAAACGAGAGTTCCGCAAAGGGTAGGTGGTTCTTTGTGTCTTGTTGGCGCAGGTCTCTGGGGTATCTTGTGTTCGTTGCTCTGGTTCAGCTGATTTCACCCCGTTTTTTGGGGTGCATGTTGGCAATGATTTCTTTAGCAAACCACTTGGAAACCGACGTTTTAGGGGGTGCCCTATTTTTGAGACTACGCCATGTGCCGACACTGGTTGGGCCAGCTTTTTGCATTCGAGACGAAGTGAACAAGGCCACTCGCATCCCTTGTTTTGAGCATGGCCATGCTCTATTTCAAGTTTGCATTTTTATGGTGGGCGTCTTTCGATTCCTTTGACATGAAACCCATGGTGTTTCAAGATCCAAGTTCAAAGCAATCTAAGCTACCAACTAATCTTATCGCATGCCTGTGCCATCCGGTTCCGAAGGAGGTTTTTGAGCTGCTTTTAGTTGGTGAAAGGTGGTTGTTTTGCGCCCCATTCAAGCCACCAAACGTTTTCGACCTGAAGCGCTTCAGTTTAGACAGCTCAGTACTCATAGGAGGCCTTTTGGAAAAAATGGTTTTGGCAAATAAAACCAGGCCTATTTAAAGCAGCGCTATCCATGCTGAGCTAAACCAACCGATTTGGTTTTAAATGGACGCCTGTGCCAGCAATGTTGCCCGAGTGGAAGGCATTCGGAGACCCCACGGCCACGCGTCGTGTCGCCTTCGCACGAAGGCCGCGGGCTGGCTGGTGGCATTGCCTGCGACGCTCGCCGCGAGGCCGGGGGTTCGACGGTTCGACCAATTGCGAGGGCGAAATCGCCGAGGTTCCAACAAAGGGCATAGGTGTCCTTTTTGGTTGTTGTGCTAGAACAATAGATGGCCCTGCTTTACCTGGTGGTTTAATCATCTACCAGGGCCATCTATTTCCCCTAAAAGGACACCTATGACAAAGGGCATATTCACAGTGAGTCGGAAGCGCGGCCCCTCAGAAATCCGCCCGAAGACGCGAAGCTCCGAAGACGCGAGCTTCAGAGCTTCACCCCGAAGACGCACAGACGCGAGCTTCATTCAGAGCTTCACCCCGGAGCTGAGAGAGCGCCAACAGCCGATGTTGCCCAAGGGAGGATGTTACGGGAAGATGCTGGATCTGCAGCCCCTTCCTGCTCGGGTCTCATGTTGCGTCTGCTGCTTTGGTCGGGGCTGGCAGCAGCGGCAGGCTTTGCCCATCAGCCTCGCGCTAACCTGGCAGCATGCCGACATTCGCTTCTGCGTGGCGTTGTTGCGTTGTTCAAGCCGCCAATGACTCAGGGTCCACTTGGTCGTTGTACCCCGGTGGGCCCGTCATTGACTGCTCAGCCAAGCAAGCAGCGGACGACTTCAGCCCTTCCAGGAGCTGGCTTCTGGCCGCTTGATTGTAACAGTGTGCGACAGGCCGACCTTCCACAGCTCCGTTCCCCGCTCTGGCCTCGGAGGTGGCGCGGGAGCAAGAGGACCGGAAGCCGCACATCCTGATCAACTTAGACGCCGACAATGTCCTTCACAGCAGCAGCGCCGCAGACCTCATGGTTGCCTTGGAGCACCGGAGCGTGCTAAACCACCAGGGCGGCAAGGACTCCGGCTGCTGCGGGCAGAATCGGTTGTGAAGACTTGGAATGGATGCTGGTACATGGCTACGACCAGGGCTTTCATCCCGCTGGCTTCCAAGACCTGGATCTGCACCAACGCCTCCGAGCACAAATCGGCAAGGCGCCTGAATGGCGTTTTCACGCCCATGGTCAATCCCCAACAGCACGAACAAGAAGACCGCCAAAACCTCAGACAACATTTCCTTGACGCGGAAAACCGCGCAAAAAGCACCGCGAGGGCCGATGCAGTCACAAACGGCTTGGAAATGTGGGAATTGGTGAGCCACCTCGGTAACGAGGCGGACCGCGGGAACATCGCCCGCAGACTGGGAGCAAATCCGTCTACGGCTGGACGGGAGCATGGCCGTGTGTCAGCCAAGTTGGCCTGGTGATGGCGGTTGTGCTCCTCACTCCGCCGCTGGACACGTGAGAGCCTGCGAGCCAAAAGGCGCGCGCACGGCGCGTGATGCACAAGCAAGAAGTTCCATCTGAAGCCTTGGCGCCTTGTTCCCTTATTATGTGTGACGCATCGTGAATTGCAAGTCGTGCGTCGTAGCGTTGCTTTAGTTCTATCAATGAGCACAAGTTCAGCCATGCTTTGCGCGTACACGTGTAAGTTACAATCCCCCCCCATCCGCCCCATCCCATGGAGAATTACAGCCAGGGAAATATTAGTTGCCCCCTCCATGCCCTTAGAACCTGGAGTCCGCACTGTGGTTCAAAGATCCTGGAGAAAACCTCTCACATACGGGCTGGAGCGCCCAAACTCTCCTTACTGCCCCGTAGTCATCATCTAGTCTGCCAGCTATTGGAGATGGGCCCTGTGGCTACCCCTTATTGCGAGTGTGCCTCAGACGAAGACGCGAAGACGCCGAGCTTCAGAGCTTCGGAGCTTCAGGCGAGCCGCGAAGACGCCGAGCTTCAGAGCTTCAAGCGAAGACGTGAAGCCGCCGAGCTTCAGAGCTTCAGGAGCTTCACACCAACAAGCGAAGACGCCGAGCTTCAGAGCTTCAGGGCTTCAGAGCGATTCGGCGACCACGCTGCCAAAAGTTAGTCACTTTTAGCAGGGGAGCAGAAGGCAACCAAGCGTCACGTATGGAACCTGACCCGGACCCAGTCCCTTTAAAAGCAATGGTCCAAACCAAACGTCAGGTTCCATCTTAGTTGGAGGTGTTTTGAATCATCTTCCAAGACTACACACGTGAAGGCAGCAAGGAATGCGCAACCCCTAGACAGGAGCCCTTTGTCACAAGCTATGGTCGATTCGATGCTTTCGGGCTTGCTCCTAAAGAAAACCAAAAAACATCTTAGGGACAGGCTCGGAAGGTCGCTCTTCTCTCTTATGTAGGTGAGCCATGTTTTTTCCTCCTGATTTATGAGTCTGCAGACCACGGTCCACTTTGCCTTCCAAAGCAGGCTGAATTTAAAGGAACCCTGCACAAGTGCCATATTTGTGGAGCAGGGGCTCCCTGCTTGGGAGAGAAGTAGGGCCCGGCGGACCCCAATCTGCGCAAGCCTTTGTGCGCGCACTCCCCCCACCAAAAAAGCAACAACAACAACAACAAAAAACAAGAAACACATGAAGCAAGGAAAGACGTATTTGTTATCCGTTTTTGAGGAAAAAGAAAACCTTTTGTGATCTTTTGTGCATTCAGGCTTATTTGCAGCTGCGCCAGCAGAAGCACAAGGCATTTGGGGCCAAACGTTGGTTCACCCTTTGAAGGTCCAAACCCCTCCTTTGGAGATCAACCAGTTGCACCATCCCCTTTGGGCTCCTTTTCATTCAAGTGGCATTTTCAGGTATAGCTTTTTGGGGATATATATATATATATATAGACACATATGCATATACTTATACCACCAAAGTGAGCTTATCAGGCAGTAAATGCCCCTACAAGCACCATATAACCTCCATACCTCCAAAGCGTTTGCATTCTCCACGGCCCCAGTGGAGGGGCCAAGCAGGGAAAACCTTCCGCCAGGCGTGCGTGCGGCGGATGACGCAGTGCGGCAGTTGTTTGAAGGACTGGATGTGATGAGTTTTTTTTTTGCGGCAACCCCCAAAATAAGTGTTTTTTCTTCATTATTTGTCCCTTTAGCGCAACCCCAAGCAGGGTACACTCAAAAAATCCATAGCTCCATTTTTGGGAAGAGGAACTCGCCCGGAACCCACTACATCCATCAGGGCAGTGTCAGGCAACCTCTTTTCAGGTATCCCCTAATTGGTGGTTCGGATTTTCATTTCAAACTCCTGGCTTTTGTAGCTTGCTTACATGGGACACCACCCGGACCACGACCAATCCACCGCACTCTAAACCACAAATCAGAGGCAGGCTGGGATTCCAGATTCGCCGGCTTTTCTAAGCGGTCTTTTCTTTGGTGCATGTTGCCAAGGGATGTTAGGACTTCAACTTGTTGCCAACTACAGGGTTTCCACTTAAACCACCAGAAGTTTTGGTGAAATGGAGAGCGGGGACAATCCGCCTCCGAAGGCCAGGTCCTTTTTGGGATGCAAATTTGAGGAAAAGTGAAGCAACCCTGAGGTGGTTTGGAGCTGTGGTTTGGATTTGGATTTGAAGAAACCTTGTAGAGGGTGTAACACCAAAGCACCGATCCGGCTCCACCAACAAAAACCAGGGAAGCCGAGGAAAAGTGACGTGTTCATTTCGCTCAGCGAACCGCGAGATGTCCTCACCAAGATGTCTTAGGAGATGTCCTTCGGTTCGATTTTCCCCAACGGAAAAGCGTCACAGGAACTTGTTCTCGAAGGACAACTTTCTGGAGGGGGCCAGTTCCACTGCAGGTTATATGTTTGTTTTTGGGATGTATTCAATAACACGTGCTTGTCTTTCAGAGGGCTGGGGTTTGATGTTTGCTTTTCCGGCAGGACTGGCGCAAGAGGCGGAAGAGAAACGCCAGCAGCGGCTCTTGCTTGGGCTCAAGGCCGATCGGATGGGATCATTCGCCGTTCCTCTCGTTCTTTTGTGTTGGTGGTTCCCAGCCATCTGGTTGCTTTGTGTTGGCAAGGAATAGATGGGTTCCACTGGGGTTTTGTTCCATTTCCCAGGGAAACCCAGTCTGCATTGTTCGTTCTCACCGACGCACCCCATGATGAAGCTCCCAAACCGAAGAAAGACAAACCTGCCACCCCCCCCCAAAAAAAAAAAATATCAAGAAGAAACAAAAGAAGAAGAACAAAAACGCCGCCGCGCCTTTTCCGTCGCCTCGTTTCCGTGCAAAACCTGACCGCCCAAGGGTTCAAATCCCAAATCCAAGCCACCGGCTCGGGGTTGGGCTCCTGAAGTGTCGAATTCCCCATGGTCCTTGGGCTACCTACCTGACCCCCCGTTTCCGGACTTCAAAAGCCCACCTTGCTGTTCTTGGCCCACCTCCCAAAACAAGAACCAACACACAAAAAACAAAGCCCGCCATCGCCGTTTTTGGGCCCCCCCATCCCCATTTTTCGGGGGAGCCGGCTCCCCGCGCCGGAGCGACGCGTTTTTCCGCGGAAAAGTCGGTCCTTTGAGGCCACGGGCGCCCGGGGGAACCGCGAGGCGCTGTACCTCAGCCCCGAGCGCCGGGAGCCGCTGGAGCGCAGCCTCCGGAGCTTCCTGGCGGAGGTGGAGGTACTCCGACCCCGAGATCAGCCCAGGGGTGTTTTGGGTACCCAAAAGGAAACCACACATGTGTGTGTGTGTGCTGTTTGTTGCTGGTTTCTTTACGTTTTTGTTGGTTTTGTTTGTCTTATCTGGCTTTTTCTCTTTCTCTTTCTCTTTCTCTTGTTCTTTCTCTCTTTCTCTCTTGCTCTTCTCTCTCACGCTTCCTCTCGCTCCCTTGCGCGGCAGCCTTCGCGATTCAGAGGTGAACTCCACCGCCCGACATCGGATCATAGGCTAGGAACCCCCCAGCAATTAGAACAAGGACACCTATGGATCTTTGAAACTGCTAGGGAACTTTTATGGATCTTTGAACCCCGGCGTCAGGGGAGTGGTGGCAAGATGTGACAAGGGTGCCGTTCGCAAAGGGTGGGAATGAGCATGTTGCTGTACTCCCCCGCAAACGCACCGTCAAGGGAGGGGGAGGTTGAGGCCCGGTTGCCTTCCCAACTGTTAATGCCTTTGGCATGACTGCCATCAGATCTAGTCACCCCTCACCCCTGAAACACAAAACGCATGGGGAACAACATCTTTGTGCCCCACGTTGTTTGTTTTGTTTTGTTTGGGTTTGGTTTGGTTTGGTTTGGTTGTTTGTTTGTTTGTTTGTTTGTTTGTTTGACAAAGAAACCGCATGGACAGCAGATGGACAGCTCCCAGTTATCCCGCCAGGGCGACGCGCAGCACCTGCAGCGCCTGGCGGCTCTCCAGCACTTCCTGGAGGCAAAGTTTTGAAGAAAGCATGGAGGTGGTTTCGGGTGTCGTTTTTTTTTTTTGGCTTTTAAATGCAAACGACTTGAAAAAGCAAGGACATGACTAAGCAACCAGTTTTTTTGTTTTTTCCGGTTTTGACCAAGAATATTATATGGTGACCATCTCCTGGGGGCCGCGGCAACCTGGTCCGCGTGCTCAAAGCCTTGAGGGCTTGTAAGAGCTTAGGCATCTTTGAGGCTGCCTGCGACCGGTCTCGTTATTTTTTTGTTTTAAATGGAACATTACTTGTGAAAGCACATGAGTAAACAACAAGTTGTTTGTTTTTGATAAAATATGAAACCTGCAAACCACTTGTGAAAGCACATGAATGATCAACCAGGCTTTTTTGTGGTTTTGTCCAAAAACTATGAAACCTTTATGCCAAAGGGGGTACCGTCAAACAAAACACGCACACACCTGGTATGACAATCTAGTCTATTGGCGAACTAGTCACTAGTTCTGGCGAATGGGCAAAATGGAAGCTGACGATCGAGGGCTTTGGAATGTTTCAGAAGCCAGTTTCTTTTGTTGGGGACGCCCATGACCGTCCACTGACTTGAATGCCGTTTGACCACACCCCCATTTCCCAAGCAAGCCTTGTTCAGGGGGAGGGGGAAAACACTGGCAGGGAAAAACGCATCGGGAGCGGGCCAGGTGGACATTGCAGATTTGCACCTCCCGCCCGAGAGAAGGTGCAGCGAGGACGAGTTTCTTGAGGCGGGACTGGACCAGATCCGTGGGATGTGTTCGGAGTTCACTGATTGAGAGTTCTTGGTGGTTCAACCAGCTATCCCCTTAGGTTTTGAGGTTTCTATGGTTTTGTGGTTTCCATTAAACTCCCAGCCATCCGGTTCACCTTCGGTGTTTAGCGGTTTTTCGTTGGTGAAATGTGGTTGGGTTTCCGTATTAAACCCACGAAAGTTTAGACATTAAGCAGGGGATCACAAAACAGACACCCAGACTTGGACACCCGCTTTGTTTCATCCAGGAAGGCAGAAGAAATGCTCAAGGGAGAATGCCAGGTCGAGTTTTGCTTTGGAGGCCCAACTGCTCAAGGCACCCCAAACGTGTTCTGATGTTTCTTGTAAGGACAGAGTCCCTTAAAGGTTAGATTAAAGGTTAGATTTGGACCAGGTCGAAACTCAAATCTTCCAGCTGATTCAGAGGATTCCGTTGTAAAGCAGCTGGTTTGAAATGTAGCCTTTGCGTTTTTTTTTTAAGGGACTGTAAAAAGGTCTCATAAAATCTCATAAACGTTCCAGCTTGGACCAAAGCACAGTCATGGCACCCAAAAGGGATCAATTTGTTTTCACCCATTTGGCGTCACTTAGTTGGTGGGAGCGGACTCAAACTAAGTCTCAACTTGCCATCGAGGAGCCTGGGATGCGGGACGTCTGCGGCCAGTTCCTCATGGACGTCACGCCCGGGTCAAAGGTGAGATAATTCGGTTCAGTGGAGCCGCCTGAGCAGCTTCAAATCAAAGGTTAAAGTGTTGCCCGCTCATAATTATTGGCTGCATAGCTGTTTGCTTCGATGTGTTGATTTGGATTTGATTTGCGCTGATGTCATGATTTGTTGGTGGCCATGGAGATGAAACTGTCCCGGCCATGGTTTTGCGCTGGTTCTCCGCTAAAGTGGAACCGACCCTGAGAAGGCTTCCAATTCTAATTCTTGGTTTGCTAGGCATTTTTGCAACCAAGTAGGGGAGCCTAGGACAAAGAAAGGGCGCCAGAGACACGATGCATGGCACAACAGCAGTAGTAGAGGACTTCCATTGTTTCATTTGGGTGGGTTCGAAGTGGTTTCCTGGGCGAATTCAATTTGAGTTGAATTCGTGGATAATGCCAGCCCTCCACCGCTAATCGTGCACGTCGATGTCAGCGAGGATGCGGCATCGTAGCACGCGTATTCAGAACGCATGTCAGGTTGGCGTTCTGACCACTGACGACAAGGGAGGTGGACGGAAGGTAGTTGGGCATTGCACCTCCTCGCGGACGACATGGATGTTTGCGAGGCCGTCAGTGTCCAGGATAAGCTTCGCTACTTGGACTGCCATCTCTCACAGGACCGTTTCGCGACGGAAAGCTGCAGGTGAGAGAGCTGCAGGTGAGCTTGGTGTGGCGACGGTTTTCTTCCGGCGAACCGCTCTTCGCAATGAGGCGTTGTGCGTGGCCGCGCAAGGGCGCACTGCTGCAAGAAGGGTGCGGCCAAGCTCTCACAGGCGGGCGTCCCCACCAAAGACTTGAGGGACGGCGATGGTGACATGGCCATGGGCCAGGATCCCGCACCTCGAGTCCCACTAAAATAGGTTCCAAAATGGGTGATGCACCTACCCCGAAAATGGGATCCCATTGGTTTTGACCCACGGCCACATTGACGAACGAGGACTACGACGGAGAGGTTGGTGGCTAGCGCCTGTTCGCCTCCCGAAGCCGCGGAGTTTGAGGCAAAGCTGGCCGACTTGGCGAGAAGCCTGCCATCGCACAGCTGCTCCGATGCGGGAATGAGATTGCGAGTCCAGTTCTTGGGAATGAACCGGTGAGGGTTTCCCGAAAAAGGGAAACCGTAGCATGGATGGTTTGTAGGGGTCATTCCAATTCTCGTTCCCCGAGAACCAGCTGAGCTTCTGCAAGAAATGCCGGCATCGCTCTAGTCAAATTTGCTTGGCGTATCTTGGCGGTTCCCAGCCGTCCGGTTCCTTAGGTTTTTGAGGTGTTTAGGGTGCAGTGGGCATTTCCATCTGCCCCACGAAAAGTGTTCGACGTTCAGGGGATCAGAAAGCGGACAGCCCAGTACTATTCCAGACCTTCCCCATTCTTTCCAGGGATCCTTCTAGAAAACCTGCGAAACCGAGGGAAGACGGCCGGTTTTTTGGAAAGAAGGATGGTTGAAAAGAATGGGTAATCAACCCCTAGAATCACGAGCGCGGTGGGCAAAAAGAAGAGCGGTGGGTAAGCGCTGCACCGCGTGTGTCTTTTGGCTGAGGCGCGGAGTCTACCTGCTGGACGGCCGGCGCTTCGATTTTCAGGAGCGGGTGCGACATGGGACCCCTGGTTGCAGAGCTTCGGCCCGAAGATGCCTTAAATGTTTACCCCGGATTAATTAATTGGGGGGGTGTCCCCTTTTGGTGGGGATTCATGACTTTTGGAGGGAACACCCCCCTGATAATGGGACGGGTTTATTAATCCTGGGTCAAGCGGATCCATTGAAGGAGCGCCCCTCGAGGGCATGTTTTCGGGGTCCTCGCTTGCAACAGCTTCAAGGGCTTGAAGGCTGCCTGGAGCGTCAACCTGATCCCCGGTTGCCCAGTGGATTCCCCGCCCCTTTTCTTCTTCTCCTTTTTTGGGGAAGGGTTCCCTTTAAAGTCAACCAACCAGAAAAAGGATGCCTTTTTTTCCCATGGCCGCTGGGCATCTGAGTATCTACCCCGGCACCCTCCACGCCGAATTCGCGCAAATCCAGCAAGCCCTAGCGTGAGAAAGACCCAGGCGAAGGCCCAGGCAAGCGCAACATGACCAGAAAGGATCCCAGTGGATTCTAGACCAACTCTTCCGGAATCACAAGTCTTGTACCTTCAACCCACAGCGAAGTAGATTCTAAACCATCTCACTTGCCCCTTCGGCCGACCTTTGGACAACTTGTAGTTTCCTCGTCCATTTTTCGCCCCCAAAAGATGGACCTGGTAAATATGTCCAGAGCACGTTGGCCCGGATTGGCCGGTGGCAACCCAAGCACCCCTCCCCAAGACACACGCACACACCAAAAAAAAGAAAAAAGAAATCTTGGCACCCTGCAACCGGCGACGGCAGTCCCAACGACGCCTTCTCGCAACTGCCCGCGGTCGCGAGCGCGGTCGAGCGTGAGAGGAGACGCTGGCGAAGTCGGGCTTGGACCTGGAACAGCAGCGCCTAGGTCAAAAAGTTGGGCATTAGGGAATGGGAATGACTTTCCGAGGGTTTTCTATTGGTTTAGCAAAGGGAAACCGAACTTGTTGAAAAGGTTGCCTACAAATTTGAAGATCATTGTGGGGTAACAAGTCTGGACGTGTTCCTGCCAAGGGAATTGAGAAAGCCAAAGGAAAGCTCGAAGCCCGCAACGGCCGAATCACCGGCCGTATCATGCCACATCACATTTTTAGAACTCATGGGATGAGCGTTTCTTGGTTGGACCAGTTGAACATCATTTGCAGCGATTGATGTTCACCATTTTTTAGAGCATGTGTCAGTAAAAAAACTGTAGCCATTGGGCGATTGACCGCCATATGAAACCACAGCCCGCACCAGGCCGCCTTGATGGTAGGTTTGGGTGTTTTTGTTTGTTTGTTTGTTTGTTTTTGTTTGGTTTTGTTTGGTTTTGCTTGTTTTTGTTTGGTTTTGTTTCGTTTTGTTTGGTTTTGTTTGGGTTTTGCTTGGTTTTGTTTGGTGTTGCTTGGTTTTGTTTGCGTTTGTTTTGTGTGTGTGTGTGTGTGTGTTTTTTTTTTTGGGCGGGGGGGTTGTTTGGTTTTGTGTTCGTTTTCTCTTCTTTTTTTTCTGTGTGTGTTTGTTTGGTTTTATGTTTGGTTTTGTGTTTGTTTTTTGTTTGGGTGTTTTGGCTTGCCTCCCTCACATGGCGACGAAGTGTCCGAGGAGCCTGGAGGTGGAGCGTCTCAAGGAGACCTTCGCCACAGAGGCGGGCCGGCGGCCGCATCGGAACCCCCGGAAGGGAAGCTCTTCTTTGGCGGTGGCTCTTCTTATTTAAACGATCGGAGGGGCGGGCAATCCGCAGGTTTTGAAGTCCCCATGTGTCCACTTACCGATCGGGTAACCCATTTTGGAATTCCGGTTTTTTGGTTGCCACGGCCATTTAAAAAGTCCGGGGCCACTCCCCAAAAGGGAGCTCTTAAAGTGCTGTTGCCTCCAAAAGGTTTGGCTTGGTGTAAGTGGCCTCAAAGATCCCAACATATGTCAAGATCTTCTAGCGGTTTTAAAGATAGCTTGGAACGATTTTGGCTGAGTTTCCTTGGGCGAAGTTTATGGGGGACATGTAGGCAAAATAGCTTCGTTTTGCGGGTTGGATACCCGCCTGGCAAACCCAGCTCAGACATGAGTTCATGGTCAGCTTTGGGTAATACGAGCTCACGAATGTTTATGCCAGGCATATGGGAACTCGTCGGGTTCAGAACCTGACGTCATACGGATAAACTAAATAACTGTCACTATCCCTTAAAACAAAGGGGGCTGATATAGCCGCCATTGCCTAAGGTTTGTCGTCATCCAACTTGTGTCAAGCATTCTTTCAAAGGGGGCAGGGAACCTTACGGATATCTATATATGTATATATGGATGTCGATATGTGTGTTTGTACATCTCGGCAACGCGTGCACGTGCTAAAAAGGAACCTCTTCTTTGCCCCCTCGCGCCCAGGTGGCCTCGCTCCTGCGGCGGCACCTGGCGGAGAGCGGCCCAGGGCGCCTCGCGGAGAGGCCGGGCGGCTGGGTCAAGTTGTGGAAAGCCGCCCCGGACGGACGGCGCCCCAGCCCCCGTATGCAGGTTGAACTACTTTGACCGCAGCGCTGGGAAGAGTTCTCTTCCCAAAGCGGGTTTTCCAAGCTGCTCCCCTGCGAAAAGTTGTGAGGTGTTTAGTCGGTATGGGGATTTCTCCCCATTTAGGCCATTGGAAGTTGGAGTTCGACCGTTGGCAGGGGATCCCAGCGTAGAAGTGGAGGACTCCATATGGCTTTTCGGAAGACCACGCCATTCGCGCAGGAAAAGTTCGGGCTTTTTCTGGCCAGTCGATCCAGGAAGCAAGTGCTACTCTCCTGCAGGCCACAGTCAGCCACAATTGAGTGCCTAAATTTTGGCCAGAACACCCCAATTAGGCGGTAGCTTAAACCAAAGAAGAGGTGATGTGTGTCCTCGTTTGAGTTTGGTTCCAATCATGCACACCCCTGAAAACAAGCAGTTTTTGAGAGGAGACTCCTTTTTGTGAATTGGGTTCCACGTCCATTTGTAGCGGAGTAGTCACTACTGGTATTTCTCATTTTTCCAGGGGGCTTGACTGCAAATGGAATTAGGCCTACAAAGTTGCACAGCCCCCCCCCTCCCCCTCCAAACAAAACCAAAACAACAACTCCAAAAACAACAAGCAATAACCAAACCAACATCCCCCAACCCTCCAAACCAGCGCCACGCGTACCCCACCGGCCCCCCACCGGGCCCCCCCCCACCCACCGCTCCCCCAGGCGCGCGGGGTGCAACGTCCTGGTGCGGGGGGCGAGTTCGCTGCTGACGCAGTCGGGGCTCGCACACCTCGAGCGCGCCTGCGGCTCCGTGGTGGTCAGCGGCCACTTGGTCGCTCGGGCGGTGGGTGGGTGTGGTGGGGTGGGGAGGTGATTTTGGAGAAGAGCGAGGTGTCTCATTGAATTTAGGCCCTGGTACTGGGTAAAAATCAGGTACACAGGAGTACACCGTGAGCTGGTAGATGGCACAATCCCCAATTGCCGAATGAAGGGGATGATGAAAAGAGAATTGGACGCACGCGAGTTCTCTAGCATGACTTCCCCCCCATCAACTTGTCTCAGCCCCATTTTCAGTTCCAAGTTGCATTTCCCTCCCATCATGGCGCGTGCCAGGGACCCGGCCTGCTGTGGGAAGGGTGCCCTCCGATGAACAGCCGGAACCTGACGTTCGGGACGTGGTTTAAGAGGAAGGTCCAAGCCAGCCCGAACGTCAGGTTCCGGCGGTGAAAAGGGTCGGAGGGTACCCTTCCCACAGGCGTACTGGAAGTCTTGGACGGGACGAGTCCCGAACGTCAGGTGCCCTGTTCGTCTCCCCTCAGAATCTCTTCTGGGTGAATTGTAACAACCTCACACGACCTCACCCCAAATGGTGGTTTAAGTGGGGAATGACCCAACCACCTTTCAGGCGGGTGAAAAGAAGTACTTCGCCCGGAATGACCAAGAGCGGTTTCTCTTTGTTTCTCTTTTTTTCAAAAAAAACACACACACGCACACACCGACACACCGGTTGGTTTTTTAAAGGGGCTCTATCACTTCCTTGGCTCCCAGAATCCCCCCTGAGTTCCTCTCCGAGCAAATCTCCTGGCTCCAGGCGGGGACCAGGAGCTGCTCTTCGAGCTCCGCCCGGCCGACGCCGGCTTCGACCTCTGCGTCGCCAGCGAGAAGTCGGGCTTCGGGAGCTTCGTGCGCCTCGGAGGCGGAAGGATTTTTTTTCTCGGCCGCTTGGAGGCGGCGTCCGTGTTTTTTTGGTTGGTTGTCCCCTGTTGTTTGTTTTTAATCCCTTCCCCCTAATAATAAACGACGCCCCCCCCCCCCTCCCTAATAAAAAAATACCCGGCCTGCAAAACAATTTTTATTATTAGGGGTCCCCTGGTTCTGGAGGGCAGGTTTTGGAGGTACTTCTTGTTCTGTGTAGGCTTGTTTGCAACTGTGGTCCCCCTGTTCCGTTCCGTAAAATCGCTTCAAACGCACATTTCTGAGTAAGGAATTTAAGTAGCGGGAGTTGAGGTCACGTTTTGTTGTTTTTGGTTGTGGGTTTTGGGTACAGCAACTTTGTAGTACAGCCGTAGTAAAGGAAACGTGCTCCCGGAGCTCTGGCCTGAAAGTCGCAACTTTGTAGTACAGCCGTAGTAATTAAAGGAAACGTGCCCCCGGGGTCCCCCTAATGGGGCTGGATTTGAGTACGGGCAGGAAAATATCTACTTTAGAATTGGTTTAGTATTGGCTATTCTAAAAGTAGTATTCCCGGATTTGGGACTTCCGAAACAAATATTTATTATTAGGGAGACCTTTATTAATAGGGGGAAGTGATTAATTTTTTTTAGGGGGCCGATTGTTTTCCCGTTTTGTTCCCCTTCTTCTTTTTTATATGGGGGCCGTTTGTTTTCCCGTTTTTGTTTTCCTTCTTTTTTTATAAGCGGGCCGGGCCATGTGCGTGTAACCTCGGAATCTTCGGAATGTTTTGGCGTTTTTGGGGCGGACCCCGTTTTTTTTTTTTTTGGGGGGGGGGTAGCAGGAGTGGTAACAATGACAGATACTATGGAACAGCGACCAACAATGTATAACACTGACAATATAGCTTTTTCTTGTTTTTGGGGTCGGGGTTGCCAACGTTTTGGCGCGGTCGTGGTTGCAACCCCTTAGGGGGGGGCCGGACCCTGTGCATGTAAAATAAGCAGAAACACGTTGGCTTCGCACCATGTACATGGTTTTTTCAATGCAATATTCCCACAAACACAATCTACTTCGCACCATGGCCTTTCAGTCAAGCGGCAATGGCAAGGTCCTGGCCCAACTAGAGCCTGTATGGGCCAGTAATCCTTTTGTGGGCCCCACCAATGCCGTTACAATAGTGGCATTTAAGTCGCGATGGCAAGCAGCCTTCCTGACATTGATATGTTATCACGTTGGTCTATTTTCAAAACATCTCTATTCCCCCCCCCCCCCTCCCCCCAAAAAATATAATAATAATCGCAAGACGTGTTTTGTTCATTTTCGCGATCGCCAATCTTTTTCGCGCGCGTTGTGGACCCCGATTTCAACTGGGCACACGAAGCGGTCTCCGACCCGTGGGGGAGCCGCCTTCGAACACGCCTTCGATCAGATCCGATCCGATCGAAGGCTCAACTCCTCCGTCCGCCGGTGCTCGGAGGCGTCCAAGGTGTCCAGGCGAGCACCGGCGTGGGACGCCGGTGGCACTTGAGCCGTGGTCGACGTTCTTAGGAGGCCAGAAAACCCTTTGTTGGCCAGTTCTTTTTCTTTTTTTTTGGGGGGGCTTAGTGGGGCTTCCATTTAGCCCATTAAAGTTGGACTATCTGAGGCCATGTTTTTTTTGGTTTAGTGGGGGTTTCCATTTACAAGGTGTGTCTTTTTTTGGGAGGGGGTGTGTCCTTTTTTCCGGGCCCCCCCTTGAAACGGTGTCTTTCCTTGTGTTTTTTCTTCAAAGATGTAGCCCAGAAAGAAGTACTGACTCTAAAAAAGGCAGACCCGTTTGTGCATAGGGTAAACGAGCCACAATCAAACCCGGGTAGATGAAGGTTAGCAAGAATCCCAAGCTTTTTAATCAGTGCCTTCTCCGCCTTTTTTGACTCTTGAAGCATGGTTCTGGGTAGGCCTTCTAATACCTGGCTTAGATTATGACTCACTTGGTTCGATACTTGGATGTTCGATTCGTCAAGTTACGAAGTGGTTAGCCAAGGCTTAGTGGGCTACAACCTATCCGCAATTTGCTAGAGACACGAATCGAGTCAATATGGCGGATCGTGTCACATACTTCAGCCATGAATGGATCTAATTCTCTAAAAGGTTGAATGTACACGTCCATCACTGAACCCCTGGTATGAATCCTATGGGTTAATTAATTCTCCCCGCCCGTTTGGGGTGTCAACTCGATTTTTCGCCTTCAAGCAGCTCACCGGAAAATCTGGTCCTGGGTCCGGCCTGGCGCAAAAAAGTTTTCACTCCGCGAGGTCTGCAGTCATCCGCCTCACCGTGAGGGACGCGAGCCCTCCACTTTCCGCCGAGGCGTCGAGCATCGTCGAGCTTCGGGGCTTCGGGGCCGCATCCCAGGAGGTAGTGGGTGGCCCAAAATTCTCAGCTTGGGAGGGTGTTGCCCCAGAAACTCGCTGGCAAAGCTGACCATGTGGACCTGTTTTGGTTTGGTCCATTGGCAGTCTTGGCCCCAAAAGGCCCATCTATAGGTTTCTCAAGCGGCGCTATGGGTCAGCGGTTTGTTTTTCGAGGCTTTTTCTGGCTCCCGACCGCCTTCCGAGGGTTTGTTGCAGCATGCAGAAATTGGCTTCTGGGGGGCTCGTGTTCTTCTTCTTTCTTTTTTTTGGGGGGGGGGGGGGAATTTAATTAATGGCAAAACTGTTTGTTGTTTGGCTTTGAAATCACAAACAAGGTTACCAACTCCAAAAGAGGAACCACGCCTAGTTTGATTTATTTTGGTTTGAATTTCCCTTTCCCAGAGCCTGAGTTTGGCTTTCTTGGGAAACCCATTGACCGAAACCCCAACCACCAATCCAACGGTTCGTGGCAGCTTCGCGCAACAAGCAGCTGGGCCTGGTTCCTTTTTTTCAGGCCCGGTACCCTTTTTGGGTTGGTGAAGAAAGGGAATCCAAACGGAAGCCCCCAAGCCATGTGTTTATATGTATGTATGTATCTATGTATGTGCATATTTGTGGAGAGGGCCCCAAGCCATTTTTTGTTTGGTGGGGGGGAGGGGACATCCAATTTGAAGACGCGCCCAAAGTTGAGATCGAGGTGCTGGAGCTGCGATCGGAGGTAGAACTCTTGGACGAGCAAACGGAGCGGCCAATGGCCCTGGAGGCACAGCTCCGACCAAGTCTGGAATGTTATTTGTGTTTTTTGTTCTTGACGTCTACCTGATCAAATCTTTGCTCTTTTTTTTTTTGGGGGGGGGGGGTTCAGGGTGATGCTCATTTTCATCCTTAACAGGTTAGATCTTTCCCGTTTTTGTTTTTTTTTTTGGGGGGGGGGGGGGCGGGATGGTCATTTTCATCTTTAGCATGTACCTCGTTCTTTCCTTGTGCTTTTGTTCCGGGGGGGGGAATGATCATTTTCATGTTCAACCTTGACCTCTTCTTTCTGTTCTTGTTGGCGGGGGAGGCGGGGGGGGGGGATGACGATGTTTCCACTAACCTGCCAAGAGTCGAACACCGTTTGGATGTTTCGGCCAAGAAGTTGTTGGTTCGATAGCATGAGTTGGAACAGTTTCGAGCCGACCCATCGTTCCCAAAGCATGTTCATTTGCGCTTCATGTTGTTTTATCCTCGGTTTGAAATGGAATCGACCTCGCTAGTGGACACATGTTCTCTCATGTTCTCATTTTTGCCAGGGGACTTAAGCCCCGCAAATGGCCCTGAGTTCCTACCAACCCGCCCAGAAGCCCGGGAGTCAAGAAGAAAATGAGCGTGGCTCGCTTCTCTTGAGGCTCGGTACCAAGTTTGGGGGTGGTTTGAAAAGGAGCCCAAGGAAAGCCGAAATCCATTGTGGGGATCCAAATGGGTTGACCACATTGACTCACATCTGGGGATCCAATTGATTCCATGGGGTCCCTTGATCTTCCATATCTCACTTTAACTCTTGAGAACCGGCCCAAAGATTTTAGGTGCGGCCCATGTAACTCGCCCAAAGTGTTCGATTTTCCGCAGGGGATCAGTTTGGACGGCCCAGCGTTCTCCGTGCCAGGAGAGGAAGCGGGACATGCTGCGCGGCATGCTGAGCTCGCTGGATTTCAGGCTACTCAGCACTGGGTTTTGCTAGAATGGCAAGGTGGCATGGTGAGAACGTGGTTGGAATCTGAGAAACGGCTTTCGAATCGCGATTCTGCCACCCTCTACAAGTGGTTTTCCTTCTTTCTTTCTTTTTCTCCTTCTTTTTTTCTCTCCGCATAGTCCCATGAGCATGGAAGCGAATAGAATTCGTGTGCCAGAGCACCGGTCTGGTCGGGTCCGATTTGTTGCGTGCAGTTGGTCATCTGAAAGGCCCAACGATTCATTGCAGCCAGCCTCCAACCGCGAAAGGCCCGAAGGTGCCGGACTCGTGCCTTGGCAACTTTCAGACCCCAACACCTGAGCCAAGCGGCGCACCCGCCGCAAACCCGTGGTTTTTTGGGGTGTGCGGCCATGTTTTTACTCCTTTTGATCCCAGTTCCTCCTGTCTGAAAATGCAGTTACTTTTGGTGTGTAAAGAGTGCCTGGATCCACTGGGCAGTTTTTGGTTACACCCATGGTGGTGGACAACTTGGTCGGACCAATTTTTGTGATACCCAGAGACCCCGTTCAAGCGCCAAAGTTGTTATGGACACGACCTGCTTTGGCATCACATTGATGGTCATTGGGTGTTGCTTTAAACAGCCATTGAATGTTGCATCCTTTTTTTCAACACCTTGCGTTATGCAGGGGTCCCACCGTTTCCCTTTTGAAGGAAAGCCACTAGCATTGGGCAACTTTTGAAGGGCAAATCCAGTATCCCCTGTTATGAAACGCCAGCCAATGAGTCTGGCCCTCCAACAATCATGGAAGCTAACAGGAGGGGGTTGGAAGACTTTCCTCTTGGGGAAACCCAAAACTCCACTTCCATGTTGGATGGAAAGAGGGTGTCCTTCCAGCAACCCTGCTTTTTGAAAGTAACTCGACTTCCGGCTTTTTTGGACGTAATTCGCTTCTACCCGGTAGGATCGACACATAGAGTTTGTTGGGGGGAGGGTGTATAAAATCCAGTGACCGCTGTTATAAACAGCCAATCAATGGGTTCTACCCTCCCTCCAACAGTAATGGAAGCTGACAGGGGGTTGGAAGACTTTTTGGGGAACCCCAAAACGTCTACTTTGTTTGTTGGTGGGAGGGTATCCTTTAAGCAACCCTGAGGCCAACCAACAGTTTTTCCCTCCCTGAAACAACCTGGAAGTCGACGTTTTGGGTTCCCCCCCCAAACAAAGAAGACTCTTCCAACCACTCAGCTTCTTGAAAGTAACTCGACTTCCGCCTTTTTTGGATGCCTGGTACCGTATGATCGGCACCAAGAGTTTGTTGGTGAGAGGGCATATCAAGAATCCCAGTCACCCTCCGCTCACCTTTTTTGGAGGCCGGTGATGCGCCTGCCCGCGCGTTGCCTGGGCCGCTGTGCCGCCTACAGCGCCCACGCCGCTTCGGGCGCCCTTGGGGCCGCGGTCTCCAGGCGTGGGCCGGTGGGGTGCGACGAGTTGGATTTTCCGCCGCCCGCGGCGGGTACCCTCTCACCAATTACTGTCCCCCAGCTAGGTGCGCTTTGACCAACTTTTTTTGGGGAGGGTTCCCCTACTAAAATATACAGGAAAAAGGGTACGCTTATTCGAACCTTATTGTGCTGCAGGTCTTAGGTTAACATGGAACCTGGCGTTCTGGGACCCCCTGTCAGATTCCATGGTGGGGGGGTTGATTGGTGGGAGGGTAGGTCCAAAAGGTGAAACTGTTGCTTTCAGATGAGCAACCGACAATACTGTACTCTGTTGGTATCATCGTTTTCTTATTGGAATAAGGGGGCCTGACTGGTTGGACAAACAATAAGGAGTATTGTCCGTGGCTCGTATGGATTTGTCCTAAATGTTGGGCCCAAAGTGAGTCGCTTCCTTTGTTGCTTTCAGACCAACCCAAGAAAGGGTGCCCTCTCCAAAGAATGCACAACCACGTCTGGGTGCTGGATCAGGTGAAAACACACACACACCCGGCCTGTCAAAGGGGAGCCAAAAGGGATGGGTCATTGTTGTTTTTTTTCCAGTCCCACTTGCCAAACAGATCCGCAACCCTGCTTGTTTTCGATCCGCATGAAAGCCGCGTTTGTGTGGAAGGAACACCTTGGTATCCTCCAACTATCTCCAACTCGTCAGTTGGTTATGAACATAATCTGAGCTGAGTTCGTCACAATTCGGGGGGTAAAACGACCCATGTGTTTTTTTCCCACTTGGCAACTCCGCTCCAGATGAAAAAAAGAAAGAAACATGGCTGATGCGACACCTTGATAGCGGGATGGGTTTAGTAGGCAGGGCCCCGCTTCTCATATTCTTTGAGAATTGTAAGTAAGACGGTTCTAGAATGTTTTGGGCGCGGAGAGGGTGGTGGGTTTTCCTAAAAAACCGACCGACCCTGAGTTGCAAGGCACATTCGTTGTTTTCCAATTGTTCCCCTGGTTTCTTTCAATAATTTGGGTTGCCCCCCACCCCAAGCTAGCAATAGACTACAGGTCGCTCATACCGGATTCTGAAAAAGAGGCGCTACCTGGACCCTCGCCAATACCCTGATAACTGTGTGTTTGCCCCAAAATATGGGGTGGTGTCCCCTTTTTCATGGGTAGTTTGAGGGTCCAGGCAACCACAACAGAAAGTGTTCTCGTTGAGTTTCCCCTCAAAAGTCGCTCCTCCAAGAACAAACTGTTTACCACCAAACTGGTACAACCCAAAAGGCATGAATTCCAGGAACTCGGAAAGTGCGACCGTTCCGGACCCGAAAGAACTACCCATGGAAAAATGGGTGTTCTCACCCCATATGGCTTGGGGCAGACGATGCTGAAGAGTATCTTGAGGGTACAAGCAAACATCTTCATGGACGATGGTAATCTCTGCTTCACTTGGGCGTGGAACCACCTAAAATGGCCAATATACGGGCTTTTGGGTGCTGGGGGCAAGAGAGACAACCGGGACCCACGATGGACCCTAGGCAGAAGAACAGACGCTTTGAGGCAGCCTGTGTTTCCGCCTGGCCGCTGTAACAGCAAGGCAGGAACAACAGGTTTGGGGTCCAACTAATGGGTTTTCCGAATTAAACCGCTAAAAGTTAAACTCTTAGCAGGGGAGCAGAAACCAACCGAGTTAGGGTTCAGTGCGTCTTTCCGAAAATCCACCCACTCAGCCAGGGGATCCGAAAACGGCCAGCCCCAGTCGGGGAAAAACACACACAAAAAGTGTCAGCATCTTGGTGGAGCAATCAGCGGGTTTCGGGTTTCCGCTCCGGCCAGGTTCCGGCGCAGCCCGGCGGAGGGCGAGCTGCCTCTGCACAGCTCCGTGGAGCTCCCCACGCGGCACTGGTGAGAAAAAAGGCGCGCAGGAGGACGCGGTCAGGGCGGGGTGCCGGTGACGAATCGTTGTGGCTTGTTCTAGGTCCCCCAGCTAGGTGCCTCATGTTGCCGTTTCTTTTTTGGTTGGGAGGGTTCCCCTACTAAAAGCAGCTACAGAAGAAAGGGTGCCCGTATTCTAAGCTCTCTACTGGAGACCTAGTTGTGTGGGATTTATTCAATTTTCCAGGGCCATAGTTGGCCTTTTTCGGTTGTGATCGGTTTCCAGGATTGCACGACTAGCTATCGATTTGGCAAGATATGGTGGAGCTTCAAGCTCGCTCTTGCGCTGTGATCGGTTAGTTTGGCTAGAATAGGTTCGGGTTCCACTGGTTAAGATGGGCCTTATGCCCCATTCACCAGGGAACCCACTATGATTTTTGGCTGGTCCTTCGTTTGACCCCCACTTAGACCTCGCCGTCAGTGCTCCATTTGACGCAGGGCTCGTTGATTCGTTCGGGAAGTTAATATATCAGCTAAATGCTGTTATTTGGACAGGGGTTTGGTACAGTAAGGCTAGATTAAGTCATGGCCATGTGACGTAATTCATCACGCAATTTTCCCAAGCCCCTTATATTGATTTAAACTGGATTAATAAATTGAATCGATTCATGAGAACCTCATATCAACCCCTTTTTATCCAGATCCTGTTGAACAACAACCAAGTACAAGTTAACAGCCATGAAAGTTGCTGGTTGACTGATATTAATAGGGGGTGCCCCATTCAAGAAGGAACGCTTCATCGTATAAATACACCCGGTTGTGAACAATGACGCCCACCGAAGGACTGACCAATCCTCCCACTGCGTAGAACAGGGATGCCAAAAGGATACGGCTTGGCCACACGTGTTTTGATGGGTGGCCTGTTTCAGGTGGGCTTGACGGAGAAGAAAAAGGAGCAAAACTACAACTTTTGGGGTCCCCGTGTTGAAGGCAAATCATACTAGATGCGATTGTACATGTATGGTTTATGATCACGTATATATGTATGCACCTTTATTGCCATACACATGGAGTTTTACAAAATGCCGACCCCCCGTTGGTGAAAGGAAGCCAACAGGAAACCCACTGTTTCAGGGTGAGTGTGTAAGTTTTTGAGGGTCCTCCCTGTTTAACGGCGTTTTCAAAGGAAACAACACCCAAAAAAAAAGAAGTCTTTTTTCAGGTCCTCCCCCCCTGGTTTAACGGCGGTTTCAGAGGAAACAGCAGGAAAACACAGCCAGTGTTTTCTTGTTAAGGGCTTCCCCCGGTTTAAAACGGCGGTTTTCAAAAGGAAGCCCCAAAAAATATGGGGACGCCGTCGCCCCCCATGCCTCGTTCTTTCTTTTTTTGGGGGGTTGGGTTGGGTTGAGTGACCCACCCGCCCAACACTCTGGGCATCTCGCTCGCCAAGGCCAAGCGCATCGCCGCCAAGGAGCCCGGGACCCCGGGACCCCGAGACCTCGCGAAGCGGGTTCCACTTTTTGACCCAATGGGCTTAAACCCAGGGGTGAGTCATGTACCGTACCCCAAGGAAACCTGTGAGTTTAAGTCTGTTGGCCGGTAGTCAAAAAGTGGAACCCTGGGCCACTGGGTGGGCAATCGGCTGAGGAAACAAAAACAGCGAACGTGTGGCAACCGGCTGACATTTTTCGGTGCACAGTTTTTTTTGATAGTGAATGGCTTTGAATGTGTGGGTTCGATGTGGTCGGTTGGGTGCATGGACAAATTCTATAACTACCAGTTGATTTTGCCCAACCACAGTATGAAAGCCCTTGCCGGGACATGAGTTCCATCTTCAATTGCTTGATGCACGTGGGCATCAGGCCCTCGGACCCAACCAGGTCGTGCGGCAAAGAGCCACCCACTTCACCTTGAGAAAGCTCTGTTACCCCTTCCTTTTTTGGGTTTCCACTTGTCGTCAAAAGGTCCCAAAAGGTTATCTAGCCTTTTGCTTCAGAGTCCTGGGGAGTTTTCAACACCGACCTTTTCATCTTTGATCCTTTCTCCCTATTTGGCGGCCACTTTTCGTATCGGTCCCCCCCCCCAATGGGTGATCTATAGCATTTGTCTAGGGGTTGCTTCCCCATGATTTTCAACCATTGTTCTTTCCAAAAATCGAATCTGTTTTCCCAGGGTTTTGGGTGGTTTTGTAGAAAGAAGGATGCCTGGAAAGAATGGAAATGGAAGTTTCCCCTAGACCCATATTTGTTGCTCCCAGTGTTCCCATCGCCAAAAGCGAGGATTCCAACCGCTAAACCCTCATGAATAAACTGGGATTTATGAATGCGGTAGCATGTGTTCGAAGATCCTTGCAGATGACAAAGCGATTTGGATCAGATGTGCCGAGGACCGGTTCGCAGACCATGGACCATCCCTGCTCCAAGGCCTGCGCTCAGGATTCGACCGGTAAGCCGTGACTGACGTAAGCGGAAAACCGAGCCAGCATGCGCCACTCGGCTAGCCTCCAGACCCAAGTGTGGCTCCGTTTCAGGGTTAGTGGGTTTTGGTTGGGAAAGGTGGTTGGGTTTTCCGTATTGAAACCAACTAAACGTTAGACGGTTTAGTGGTTGGGTACGAAAAGTTTTGGATTTTTAGCAAGGGATCAGTTTGGACAGCCTAGCATTCATCACTTCAGGGGAACAGCCCCAATGAAGCAGGGGTCCGGGTCAACATGTGGGTGAACTTTTCAGCTGGGTCGTGGACATGGCCCAGTTCAGAGTCGCCGCGGAAACTCCACACGGTCGAGGGCCAAAGGCTTCGACCTGAGCCCAGAGGCTGGATGTTTTCGTTCAGATGGATCTTTTTCTTTTTTTTTGGTGCGGGTAGGTGACACCAACCTTTTTGGGGGTTCCTTCATTTTGAGACACACCCATATTTCTGAGCTACTGTTAACTAGCTTAGTCATGTCTGGGAAATCAGCGCCCCTGAGTCCAAATGGCCATTCCAAGAAAGGGCCTGTACAATCCGCCTTTGAGATTTGGAGAGGGAATGGTTGAGCTGTTGCAACCCCTGTTGCATCCTGTTGCCTATATGGGCTAAACCGAAGCGGGAGGTGGGCTGGAGCTCCAAGAGCGCCGCTTGACCTCCATGCCCTTCCCTGCTAAAGGAAGCGGTGGCAACGGCTGGCCATCTGCTCAGGAAGCTGAGACTCCGCAGGCAGAGTTTGGCATCGGAGCCGCCAAGGGCCAGCTTTCTTTGCCCAAAGCCAAACACACAAGCAAGGATGCCGGGGACGCAGGGATGTGGACTTATTTCAAATGGCATGTTTAGACATGGCTGGTTGGCTTTCCCAACCTCCCACGAAGGGCCAAGCTTTTCCTGGAACACTGAAACTCACTTCCTGTCGAGTGTGGCCAAAAAGGTACCCAAACTTGTTGTCCAAGCCGCTAGAATGGTCTTGTCGAGTGTGGCCAAAAAGGTACCTTTTTTTTCCAAGCCGCTAAAATGGTCCAAACCCAAAAAGTGGCGGAAGTCCATGAACTCTTCCTCCATTTCGTGTTCTTTTTTTGTTTTTCCCGGGTATCCACGTGCTGGAGCAACATCCAGTTTTAGGCGTGTGTACGGATACGGGTGACGTTCAAGCTCCAAATGCCTGACCATGAGGCCTCCGTTTGGACCAGGTCCCCAAACACACCGCCCCCACGTCACCTCCACAAATGTGCTGCTTCAGTCTTCCTTTGGGGAGGGGGGAAAAACTTTGGAAAAACCCGGAAAAGAAAGGAGCTTGCGACGTAGACCCGAAGTGTCTTTTCACAGCCACACGCCGGGAAAAAACCCGTCCGCTCGTTGCTGAAAAGCCCCAAGCAGCCGCTCGTTCGACGGGCTTTGGCAGGCCTATGATGCGTTCCTGGCATGCTGCCGGTGCATGCCCCAGGGTTCTCTAAGTCCCCCAGCAGTTGGTGCGGACCCTTTCACCCCACCGAAAAAAAGGGTACCCTTATTCTAACCTCTCTACTGGAGGACCTAGTTCTTATTTGATTGCTTTTTTTTGGGGGGTAGCTTACCTTGGTGGTTCCCAGCCATCCGGTTCCTTAGGTTTTTTTGGTTTTGGTTGGTTTAGTGGAGACTTCTATTTAACTCACCTAAAGTTAGACTTCAGCAAAGCAATTTGAGGACAGCTTAGTTACAATGTCATGTTGGGCTACAGTTACATCATGCGAATCAACGGTTTCTTTGGTAGGGTGGTGCCTAAAGGATAAATGCAGGCAAACCTTGGAGACCCGCTCGGACATGTCCAGTTTCCCGTCGGTTTAACTTTGAAGCGGCTACCTGACCCGGAATCTCAGAAGAGAGTTCGCGCGATTGTTGGGTGACACCCGCGACTGGCTGCTCAGAATTGTACGACTGCTTGACTTTCCTTGCAGGAAGCAAGAGACATTCATTTGGCAGTCGTTGTCAAAACCAATGGGATCCCATTTTGGTGGGTAGGTGAATTCACCACACATGTTCGAACCTATTTTAGTTAGGATTGAATCGGATGTTCACTGGGCGGAATTTTGGGATTTTGATGGCCATTTGCACCAGGCAGTTCCAAGTTCCAGACCTGGCACCAGAGCATCCCCACCCCAAAAGGCGCAGAGCAACCCAAAACATATTCTTCCCTACGCATGTTCTCTGTGGCTTTTCGCACATCCATGTTCCTTGCGAGAGGCGCTTTGGCAGCCCAACATGGGGCCTTGACTCCGGGCAAATGCCATGTTTTTCATGCATGGTTCCTTTCTCCAAGTGAGACCATGCGTAAATGAAGTGTCAGCCGAGACTTCCACATAGATGTTCCCTTTGCAGGGAGAGATATGCCCTTTTCGAGGCGGGCAAGTCAGGGTTTCCTCCATTTCCCTTCTTGGCACCCCCCCCACACATTGCAATTATTTGAATGGGAGGCCACTTGTAGAACATGCAACTTTCGCGGGGGAAGTCCCAGCGGCCCTGAGCCATGGTTGTTGTTGGGCAACATTTCGCAATTTGTTGCTTATTGTGGTTTGGTGGTTGGAATCC